GATCTGAGACGAGTCGTTTTTCTGGGCTCAATGGGCTGCTGCAGTAGTGCGCAGGTGGAGAAGGACCCAGAGGAAGATGATCGGCTGACGGCATCTGAGCCGAAACAATTTGGGCCAGCACCAGACCGCGGCTGCACGGATTTGTGGTGTTTGGCCGTGCTGCTGGCAGCATGGCTCCTCGCCGGCTTTCGCTTGTCTGAGTTTTGCGTCGGAAATTCAGGGCAAATTTCGTCGTTGCCAGTTGATATCCTTTCTCGGGTTGTGGATGGAAAGGCAGTACATCAAGGCTTCAACCCCAACAAATGCACATTATAGCACTATTAAACGTTGTGCAGTATTCCACCCGCCAGTGGGATTGAACCATCACTGTTCCACATGATCTTTACCCAGTGTCACATGTGGCGCTCTGAAACCAGCGAGATAACATGAGCTGACAGCAGTTTGTAGTGGTGTTACACGCAGGCTGGCCTGGTTTGTGGTCACCATCATGGGGGTGACGGATGGCAACTTGGAGAGGTTGTATCAGCCTCGGGACTACCAGGCAAGGATGTGAGGGGTCGATGTTAAAACCGTTGAACCCTTTTGAACCGGTTAATTTGCTGTACTCTTTTACCGTTTACTGACGATTTGCTCAATATTTCTCCTACGTTTGCGGGTACACTATTAACATATCCTTTATTCTTCTCACGGGGTAAAATGTTGACCAAAGAAACACAATTACATGATTTGAGCACGTTTGTTCAACCATGCCAGCGTTGGTTGTTACATCCATTGGAACAAACGTTCAACTAGAATAATTGCGGATGGTGCGAATTTGCCAGGGCGCTTATTGCAATCTTGAGACAAATTGGAACGGCGGGCCGAACTTGCTTGGCTACACCAAGCAGAGCTTCACCATGAACGTGAGCGCCGTGACGGATGTCATTGTGAAGCAGATGATGTGCTCTACTGCGGCCTCGCAGGTCCTGACACAGACAGTATCAGGCATGGCTGGCTTGCAGCCCGTCCATGGTGTTGTGATAGATGGTTTACGCAGGGCCATCAGCCCAGGCTGCTTGCTTTCTTGGTGGATGCACCGGCCTTCTTTTTGGATGTGTTTCCCCCCTGGCAGGCAACTCGCCTTTGCTGGGCAATTTGGACCAGCAGGACTACCTCTGCTCTTGTTGTCTGATCCCCTGCGACAAGTGCTCTGGCTCGCTGCAGGTTGGGCCCGGGTTGGATTTCGGAGATTGACCAGTCATTTTCTTAACTGGAGCCTGACAAACGATTCCGGGAAGTTTGTGACACATTTGCGCAGGCCTCCGTTTACATTCTCAGTGGGTTGCTGGAACAATCCCTCGTTGTTGGTTCATATTGCCGGTCGCTCTTCAAGAAGGTCGCAAATGAAAGATTGTGTTGCCCGATATTGCTTTCACACACGGCAGACGCACATTTGTACCATTGAGCGAAGCTGCTAGGGAACCGCGAAACCCGCAGATAAGCAGTGACGATTCTACCTTCACCGAAGCTGAGTCTCATTTCTCTATGACGTAGGCAAACAGTTATTCTGAAAGCTCCAGGAAATCAAATTAAGGGCAAAACAAGGACATTAATTGCATAGGCAATAGGCAATTGCATGAGATTGCTGAAGCAATGCATGGAAACACACACACACACACATTCACATTTGGTTGGCTCCTGAATAAAGTTTGTGCTCTCTTGAGTTTGCCATCCAAAGAAGACACATGACACATTGGTAGATTTTCTGTTGAGCAGTGTAGTGCTATACAATCCTGACGCAACGGTCCGGGGTCTGTGGTTCTGTCAGGATGTGTAAAACGTTTGACGCCTGGGCAAAGGCAATCCCGCACCTTCCGTATACCGTATAAGTGTATCAAACATCAAAATACCATTTGTGGATGGACAAAATCCTGCACCATTTTGAAACCATGGCAAACCATTGTCAGTTGGTATTTACAAGGGAATCATCCTTCCAGGGTCTCTGAGGTTGTGCAGGATTTCGTCCATCCACAGTATGGAGACATAGGACAGCTGAAGCACCACAGCTGAATCAGCTGTCCCAAAACAAGGAACCCCGCTGAGTTGCTGTGGTTCTTTTTCCCTTCAGGTGGGTGGAGACTTGGCCAATGTGGCGGACATCGCCAGCGTGATCACTGCGAAGCTCACGGAGCTAAGGGGCAAGGTCAGCCCAGACAACCTCTTCTCCCCGTCTGGTGCCAATGGTGAGGTGGGACGGGACTTTCCGGATTCGTTGGATGCGTTCGGGCAAGGCGTCAAGGCCTTCGGGAGGAATCAGCGCTCTTGTGGCTAAAGAGGCGTTATGGGAAGCTGGTGGCCATGCCTTAGACAAAAAGCGTGGTTTGGTTTGCACAGATTGTGTTGCACCGCGCGCCGTCCAAGATGTTCTTCATGCGTGACAGATGCCGGTTGGGAGAAGGCAAAATCAGGTCCATGAAAATCTGCACCCAGGATTGAACTATCCAGAGCGTTTCGAGGGAAAGTGCTGTGATGAGCCCATTCTGTAAGACATGTGTGCTGGACATGATCTAGCTTCAGCGCGAAGTGCCTGGATTGGTGACAGAATTGGAGCTGGTGGGAACATGTCAAACTGGATAAAAACGGGGTAAACACCGCAGGGTTGCTCTCGTTTTTTTCTTCTCTGAGACACGGGCGGCCTTTTCTTTGGTCACGTTTTTTCCCAGACGGCTGTTCGAAAGACATGGGACATCTTCGAAGGTCTTCTCAGAGATGTGGAGCGAGGCCAACCTCTACTTCAACGAGGCCGTTGCACGACTTTCGTTAATCAGATGACTAAATTTTGAGTCATTTCAGTCAGAAATGAGTCAAAGAGATGAGTCAATGATCGAGTCAAACAGACGAGTCAAAAGTCTGAAATTTAAAGTCATCGGGTTCCCCTTCGAAAGACAGGGTTTTCCAGAGATGGATAAAATCCATGAGTGGCAGTTGGGATGTGTGGTTGATCAACCAGTATTCCTAGGGTTTTATTTATTCCCACTGGGATTCCGTGCATCCAGGTGTGCCTTACCAGCTGCAGCGCAGACTTTGCGAGCGTGAATGGCTCTGCGACTCCCCGGGAGTACATCTACGACATGGTGCCCGACAGCGATTTGAAGCTCGCCTTCGACACCATCAAGAGCTACTCAGGCCGGGTGCGACTGAGGGGCTTGTGGTGTCCAGACTCTGGACTTTCTCTTGGGCTTGCCCAAAGACACCGATCTTGGAGACCTGAAGCCTTGGCCAAAAAGGCAAATGGCTGAAGAGTTCTCAAGTTGAACCTTTGGTTCAGACTCAGTGCTTCCCCAACCCCAAACCAAAGACAAGCGCGAGGAGATCAAAGATGCGCTTCAACCTGGTATGTCCAAAGCACCGCAAATGTTCTCAAGTGTTGAGGATGTTGAAAGGCGATGATGAAGGAGTGACTGGCGCTTGTTTTTGGCAGTCTGCGCTCTTGCCAGTTCTGCACTTAAGTCGACTATCCCACCACACCCTTCCCAAACATCAATCAATATTCGGTGCAAGCAGAGGATGCGAAAAGTCGAAGCCAAAAAAGCCACCAAGCCAAGAAGCCGAGAAGCCGAGAAGCCGAACAGCCAATGCGGTTCAGTTCCTCCCATTGCCATGCCCCGCAAGGCTCCCGTGCGGACGTGACCGCCATCCGGACCGTGATCAGCGACAGCTTCAAGTTCGAGGCCCTGCCGCTCAGCGTGTGCCCCTACAGCGCCAAGCGCTGCGTGCCCATGCCGGGCGTGGAGTTCCAGGCGGGGGGACGGACCAGAGGTGTCCTCTTTGGTGGGTTTGCAGAAAACGAAATGAAGGGGTTCCCCTGGTTTAAATGGGGTTTGTTCCATTTACCAGGGCCATCTATTTTTCCAAAAGGCCACCTATGGTCAGGTCTCACCTCTCGAAACTCACCCTGGCGCCATGGGGCTGAAAAGGCTGCATTTCACGGATCGAGATCAGTTTGCCCCCGCCAGGGGCTCTGTGCTTTTGGGCGCTCCCGAAAGCCCCGAGGAGCTGACGTCGAACTACTGCACCTTCTCCATGACGGCAGATGTGGTGAACACCCTGGGCTCGGCCTTCAGTGGCGCGGCCGCGTTTTGGGAACCGGCAGTTCTTTCGGAGACGGGAGGGACTCAAGGAACGGTTTAAAAACGGCCCGCTGGCAACTCAACGACGAAAAAAGTCGACACGTTCTCACGCAATCTCAGGATATAGATATTGTCAAGGTTTCGCCTTGGTGGAAGGGTTTACAATTGAAAAGTTGTTGGAAGCAAAGCTTTTGGCTTCCGCCCACCCACCCACCCAACCACCCACCCACCCACCCACCCACCCACCCACGCACGCACGCACGCACCCACCCACCCAACCAACCAACCAACCAACCAACCATGGAGTCGCTCCATGGGAGCACCGCGAGTCTTTGAGGTGCCACCTTTGAATCTCTTGGGATGAACGCCTTGGGGAACTCGATGATGGACACCGTGGGCACCTGGATCGGGGACTTCCAATCCTCCTTGGATGCCTTCGTGCTGGTCTTGCTCGTCTCCTTCCTCATCGGATTCATCTACATGGTGGCCCTGAGGTCTCCCGGATTCTTGAGGTCCGTGATTTCAATCACGGCAAACTGCACTCCAACTCACTTTCGCACATTCCGCAAGGGATCACGACAGCAGTGAGCAGTCATCAGCCGTCACATTTAGTGAGCTCTTAACCCATACTGATACCAATCAAACCCTTATCTCCGAATTCATTTTTCAATGATTCAGTCAGCGTCCTTTTGGTGCAACGCCACTCCGAGGTTTTTGGTGGGCGTGTGCGTGTGGATCTCGGTCTGCCTTTTCTTCGTGATCCTGGTCCTGGGCGGGGCAATGTCCTTCATCTCCTCCTCGCGCTGCTCAGGTGAGCGCGTCTTTGACACGGGATCCATGGCGATTTGGTACGGGATCTTTGGACTTTAGCTTTTTGGGAAGTGGATTTTCCATTGAGAGGGGTCAACGTTTGGGAAGTGACTTTTGCATTGGACCCTTCAACAGTTGCTCACTTTTTGCAGCGGGGTCGTTGCAACCGAGACGCGTGTCACCTTTTTGCTCGCCGAGTGGGGCTGGCTTGAGACTAGCAGGATTGGATCGTCGATATGTTCCGAAGCCTTGATAGTCAGTACCCGCCACAAGGGCACAGAAAAAACAAACCTCCAGTGGCCAGTGGGTAAGGAGGGAAAACAGGGCACCAGTGGAGGTCTGCATGTTCAAGTATCCATCAGAAACAAACAAGCAGTTGGCTCAGGAGAGTTGCAACCATTCTAACACTCGCCCATTTCTGGAATTATTTATCGGTCGATTCCTGGCCTCTCAATGGTGCATTTCATATTGGGTGTTCACCGTATCGGATGGAGGTATCCTTTGGAGAGGAGTGCACTTTGCAAGATCAGCTCCACTTAAACATTTATCATAGCTGCATTACCCACTGAGAATCCAGAAAGTACTCCCAAAGTTGGTGGATCCATGTTTGCCGAAAGCTATCACCCTGGCTTCTTTCTCTTTTTTCCCCAGCTGCAAGCTATGGTCCCTTTGCCCAATGGTTCGGAGCTGAGGGAGGGTTCAGGGTAGCTGTTGGGATATTCATGGGGGCTGTGGGGGGGGAGGGAGAGAGCGGGGGAGTAGACACCGTGAGAGCTCACTTGGGCTTGTCATCTTTCCTTGGACGGCAGGGGTCGGCATTTTTGAGACTGGGCAGCAGCTGGTGGTGGGGGCTGCGACCACGGTCTCTGTGGCAGCGCAGAATGCGATCGACCAGACAATCCCCGCCAGCGAGGTGCTGTCTGGTGTGCGGGACTCCAACTACACAGGAGCCGCTAGAGCGGTGGCGCAAGACTTTTTTGGACTCAACATGCGTCCTTTTTTGGCACCATAGTGCATTTTGCCAAAGCAATCCGGCAAAATGTTGGTCGGGGCTCAGACTTGACTCAGACTTGACTGGTGGCCTTTCCGGGTATAGCACGAAGCTAAACAAAGGAGTCCAGCGCTACACCCAGATGGGGTGGCTTTGTGCGGACTGGGGTGCGGCAACCAACGCGGATCCCTCCTACAACAGCACCAACTACCCAGACTCCAACCTGGTGAAGAACTACTGTCGCAATCCCTTCAAGGACGCGGACAGGCACAAGGCTCGATTCTGGAAAGCAAGAAACATCCAAGCCAACGTTCAAGCCAGCTTGGCTTGAGTAGATTTTGAGACCACAAGCAAGCGTGACCTGGTAAGCAGTGATTCCTTTGATTCTGATCTTCCGTTTGGCACTCGGTGCGGTCAGGCCAGGACCATTTGGTGCTTCACGCAGGATACGGAGGTCCGCTGGCAGGAGTGTTCGCCCATCGGCGTGATCAAGCCCATTTGCGAGCACGGGTACGACATCCAGAGCGAGGAGCCCAAGTTCACAATGGCTTTGTCTCCAAATTGGTGAGCACCCAACACTCCCCCCGGCTCAAAATGAGAGGTTTTGAGCCAACCCCAAGATTACACTCAACAAATGTCATGCCCATTTGTTTCTTCTTCTTGGTTTTACATGTTCAAGACGGGTGACTTGGCAGACCCATTTCCACAGACAACAGTTTGGCCTTGGCCACTTGAGGGAAATCAGACGAGCCTTCAGCTGAAGCAAACTTGTTTTGACACAAATCCACACAGCACACCAAGATAAAGCTAACATTTGGAACGGACCCAGTTTAGACAAAGTTTCACATGGGCAACACAGTCGGCGCACATATTTGCCTGCATCCAGCAGTGAATGCAGGAGCTGCGAGTGGTGCTTGAGATTGTGGCCTACATCCTGTGGGTCCTGGCCCTTATCTACTGCATTGCAGTTTGCTGCCTCACTGACAGGACTGCTCGGCTGCCTTCTCAAGGAACAGCAAAGCCCTCCAATTGACATGGTCAGGCGTCAAAGTCACTGACCACGTGAATGGTTTTGTGCTACAATTGCTTCGCAAAAGAGCTTCGAGGCACCGCACAAGTGTCTTACGACTGCAGAGACATGTGCGTCATGGTGTGGCTCTCCCTGTGCTTGTCCCAAAAACTTGACACGAGTCTGTTAAGCTCCATATGCAGAGTGTCGAGTGGGATCTGTAAATGGATGGAGCTGGATGAGAAAGCACCAAAAGCATGATGCATGTCAAAAACGTCTCATATAAAGTGGTTGCTCCTTCCTGTCTCAAGATCAACATGCTGTGGCAAGCCCTTTTCTGGTGGATCTCTGGCTGAGGCCCGTGCCCCCAAATCCAGACCTTACTCTCGCCCCTCCGGAAGCCAAGTGAGCCGCAGGATCCGCTTGGCCATCGCGGTGAACAAGGTGGCCTCGGTCTTTGTGGTGCACACCCCCCGGATCCTGGTGCTGCCGGTGGTGCAGTCCCTGCTGGCGGGGATTTGGACTCTGGTCTGGGGCATCTCTGCCGCGTTCCTGCTCTCCCAGGCCGCGGGTGGAGGTTTCGAGAGACGAGAAACACAGATTTTGAGAGGCCAGGAGAACCTCTTGGCCTACGGATCCGATTTAGCTGGCAGGCCAACAGAACCTCTTTTGTGGCAGGATACGCCCCTTTTTCTCATTTGCCAGCTTTTTTTCTGCGTTGCGCAGACGGAGTCTCTTTTCCGAGCGGCAGGGCATGGATGGATATGAATAGAACCTCGCAGTTGAGAAAGTTCAGGCAAAGTCTTTTTTTGGTCTTTGGTTTACAATGCTGCCCAACAATGGACGGACGCCGCAAAATGTCTAGAAGTAGATTTCACAAGTTTCGGGGATTTGCTGAGCTGGCAGGGTAATGAACGCCTTTTTGTTTCTTGTTGGCTGCATGCAGAGGTTTTGACCATACACGTGCACCGATTGATTTACTTCGTTGCTTCAAGAAGACTACAGGTGAAACGACATGAATATGAGTTTTTCCTAGAGAGTTTCAGGTGTATACTGGTTTGCGGCCGCAGGCCCCACCAAATGCCCGACGATACATTTTCATTGGGAACCCGTGGATCAGACCTGGCCACATAATTTTCTCCACCACCCTTCAGAGGTGCCTAGCGGCTACGTCCCCTCCGGTGCCTACCTGACCTACGCTGAGGCCTATGGTAGCGCCACAGTGCCAGGCGCCTGCACCGACAAGTGGCCCACCGGCAGCGTGTGGAAGGACGAGGAGAACTGCCCGCTGGTGAACGGGACTGCTGTCGGGGGCCCCGGAAAACCCTGAGCGGAAGGAAGGTCAGGATATGACTGGGCTGTTCACAGGCAGTCCTTAAATCTCTCCCTCAGTTGCGCCATGGGTGCCCTTTGTAGTGGTTTTTCTTTGGGATTTGTTGGGATTGACCAATGGCTCTATTTTGAACAGCCCAGAATATTTGAACTTAGATGCCCGCCTTGAAGGTGAATTCTGAAGGTTTTCGGAGCTAGCCTTCCAGGTTACTGGCGCATTTGTCTTGTGGCCATGTCGTCATCATGCGAGATTCCTTCAAAAGCTGGAAACACGGCTTTCGCCCAGGTCACGTCATTCGAGGCATGGGAATGCGTGAAATCCGGGACCCGTCAGTAGTCCATTTCTTCCGGCCAGTCGAGCGCCAAGGCCTGCTGGAAGTGTTCTCCCCCGCGCTACTCCTTCGACTGGCGGTTCTGGGTCTCCTTCTTCAACTTCTTGTGGAACAGCGCCCTGAACATCGCCGTGGGCCAGTGCATCATCGCGGGGGCCGTATGTGTTTGGTTCTTTACCCCGCAGCTCGATGCAACGAATGGATGGGGAGGCGATTGGAGGAGCTCACAAAATTCAATCAACTTGGATTGGAGCTTCCTGGTAGCCTTCTATTGGTTTGGGCTGAACACAACCTCCATTGGCGGGCAGCGCTCTACTCTGCACAGCCCAACAGATCTCAAAGACAACTATATATTGTTTGGACTTGCTGGTCAGTTCATCTCAAAGAAGTGGTTCACCCCGGTCCCCTGTGCAAGCGCTTTCGCAAGCGCTTTCGCAAGCGCTTTCGCAAGCGCTTTCGCATTTTGGTTGGCAGCTTAGGAACGGCGAGAAGGGGACACGGCCCGCGATCAGAAGCTCGTTGTACAACGTCTTCCGCTTCCACATGGGTTCACTGGCCTTTGGCGCCTTCATCATCGCGGTGGTCCAGCTTGTTAGGCTGGAGAGTAAGCAGTCAGCGAACCGCACGTGTGGATCAGATCCTTCTTCGAAGCGCGTACGGTGTTGACTTGCTGCTTGCAGGGTTTCACCAGGGAAATGAGCTTCGGCGCCAAAGGATTGCAGCGGGCCCTTGAAGGGGTTTGGATTTTTAGCTGAAGGGGGATGACGTTTTTTGGATGACTATAAAGGAGCTGCTTGCGCACTCCATGTCCCTCACTCGTAAGATGTTGCTCGGCGCAGCTTGCATATTTCTTCCATACGTACAGGCAAAAGCACATGTCTGTTGTGGCAAAGTAGTCCTAAGCTTTCTTCATCAACTTTGATGTCATGGCAGCCTTGTCCTTTTCCTTTGTTTGGTTCACCCCAATTCCAGGCAGAGGATTCCCTAAGGGTGCTATATCACTCAAAAGCGTGTATCCCGCTAGATTGTAGATTTTTACCACCACCGCAAGCAAGCAAGCAAGCAGGGCAGGGCGGGGCGCAGGGCAGGGCCCAAGGCAAGGCAAGGCAAGCACCCTAATCCCTCACGAACCACCTTTTCACTTCAAAACCGCTAAACTAACTCTACACCAACCCCAGCCCCACCCCCATCCTAAACCCACCTCAAATCCACCGCAAACCCAACCTGAGCCTACCCTAAGCTCACGCTATGCCCGCCTCTAACCAACCCCTACACCCATCTTAAACCCAAACCCACCCCAAACCTAAAACCAACATTACACCCAATCCGAAGCACCCCACAAACCTATCGCTAAACCCACCCCAAACCAACTACAACTAACAAAAATACCTGATGGCTTCGCTTCGGTGCAGGTACATGCTAAAGTATTACGAGAAGCAGGCAAAGGCGCAGAAGAATCGCGTCCTGGTGATGATCCTGCGTGCGCTGCAGTGCCTGGTTTGGTGCTTCGAGAAGTGCTTGAAGTTTCTCAACAAGAACGCCTACATCCAGATCGCGCTGATGGGCACCAACTTCTGCACCTCTGCCAGGAAGGCCGGACAAAAGATGACAGACAAACAGGGAGACAACAATTGGTCCGAAACGAGTGAAAGATGGTCTGCGTGCTTTGCTTGTTTGTTTGTTTGTTGGTTGGCTGGCGTACGCCAGCCAGGTTTCTTTCTTTGTTTGTTTGTTTGTTGGTATGTTTGGGTTTGGTTTGTCTTGTGTTGCGTATTTTGCTTGTTTGCTTTAGTTTATTTGTCTTGCCTTGCCTTGCTTGGTTGTTTTGTTAGTTTGTTGATTTGTTTATTTGTTCTGTTTGTCTAGAAGTACACCTGAAACGTTGTCTTTTCGCAACCGCCTCTTGCAAGATGCAGCGATGTTTACACGAGTTTGCGTTTGACAACCCAATGCTGGAGACTTCCTAATAAATATTCCAGCCTTTCCGTTTGGTCAAGAGCACGTCTTCCTAACATCCAAGACTTGCAAAGAACATGAACTCGCTTGCCCATAGCCATCCTTACCTTGGTTTGCCAGTGGTCCGATAGGTTTCCAAAGGTCCCTTATCCAGGTCCTTGGGGCAGTGAAGCAAATGGCTAAAGAATTCAGTCGAGCTGTCGCCTTCATCTCCAGAGCTAGGAACAGTGCTCTCACATGCCGTCACTGGAGGCGGCCAAACTCATGACTGATGCGTGTTTGAAACAACACTCTTGAACCTGTTTAAGAGAGACCAGATGTGGAGTGGTTTGCCCTCGTTCGTTTTCTCACACGACATCCCGATGCCTTTTTTTGGAGGCCTTCTTTCTGATCATGCGCAACGCCCTCCGCTTCGGCACCGTGGCCATCCTCGGGAGCATGATCCACATGATCGGCATCCTCGCGATGACGGCGGGCACGGCCACCTGGCCGGACCTCCATGCGCATCGTTTGTGTGTTCCCCAGACTCCAAAAGCAATGTACAGCCGGTGAAGCTGAGCCATGTGCGGACTTTTGTGGAGTTTTGCGTGTTTTTTTTTGGGGGGTCAAAAGCACGATTCAAAGGCCATGACTAGATGGCAGATGGCTGGTTTTCGTTTTGGGCGAAAACCAAACACGACATTTTTCAGTCCAAGGTCTTGAACGAGCGAGTTTGAGCAGAATAGGCAAGCTCTGATCAAATGCTTGGGGTGAAGCTCCTTTTTCGAGATAGGCCTGGACTTTGGGTGCGTCGCTGGCAGAGGCTTCAACCATACGGCCTTCAAGCTGCTCTCCCTCAAAGCCAAAGCCAAGTCAGCTTCCCCCAGCTCAGTCAAGCCTTTCGCACAAATATGGCCATGGGTCAAAACCCCGTACCCCTACTTAACATCCCAATCCCCACTACAAAAGGTTCTAAAATGGGTGGTGCACCCCCAAAATGTGATCCCATTGGTTTTGACCCACGGCCATATGGCTCACCGCTGGACTTCGGCTGAACCGCGAAGTGAGGTGGTGATGGGCTACTTCATCCTCTCGGGTCTGCACCCGAACATGGCGCCGGCGGTGCCCATCCTGACGCTTGGAGGGTATTTTTTTGGGTGCGGGTGGTGCGGGAAGGATGCTTTGCATTTTCTCCGCGAATATGGGAAGAGGGGATTTCAGAGAGTATCTTCAAGTTCGATGGATTGCTTGAGCTGGCTGAACACTGATCTCCGGTCAAGCCGAACTCAATTTGCCAGGTCTATTCTTGGCCATTCCCCGTTTCTTTTTCAGACCAGCTCCAGACCACCGAGTTGGGACCGAGCGCACGCGCCACGGCCAAGCGTCAGGATCTACGTGATGTTGGGCTACATCGTGGCCAAGCTCTTCACCAGTATCTTTGAGCTGGCGGTAGACACAACCCTGCAGTGCTTCCTCTGCTGCGAGGAGGGGCAGAGGGAGTGGGGCCCAAGGCCCACTGCTTGAAGAAGCCCATGAGGCCTGCTTTGCAAACCTGCTTTGGATGCAGCAGAAACAAGATGAGCCATACTTTGCGGACAGGAATTTGCCATGGAAGCTGGCAAGGGTTTGCAAAACACCCAAGACGACTGGCCATCTGACCTCTAAAAGAAATGGCTTTGCAACACAGACAATGTGATTAAGGGCGTGGAATAGGTCGGTTTTCTTGGCTGAGCAAAGGCCAGTCGTCCAAGACCCAGATGGTTTTTGCTGCAAGGCCTGCAGAAGCGAACATTGGTTGGCCAAGAAGACGCGTGTTCTTTCACCAGGGCCGCACTGTATGATGGACTTCTGTGGGCCTGGCATAAGTTTTTCTCTCCTGGGAAATGCGGAACGTGGCTTACCCGAGTTTCTGAGTTTCGGTCCAGAGGATTCCGCATCCCCCAAACTTTCGATTACCCCGCACCCGTTTTTCCTTCTCCTTTGATTCTGAGTCACTCCACTTTCGATCTTTCGACCGCCCCCCTTTGGCACTTTCCTCTGGTTTTCTTCCCACTTTTGACCGCCCCCTTTGGCACCCGCCCTTTTTTGCTTGTTAGGAGCTGAACATCGCGGAGATCGGGGACGAGGGCTTCGTGCCGTCCTCGCTGGCGCCGTGGCTGGACCAGTCCCAGGCTCCGGAGAAGGCCTCCGCGCAGAAGGTCCAGGAGGACGAGGCCGCGCTGAACAAGCAGTGAAAAGCGGTGAAGCGGAAAGGGAATCCGCCGATGGCCGGCTTTTGCCCCGAAGCAAAAGACAGGGGGGGGAGGAAGCTATGTCAATTGTATAATATATATATATATATATATGTACACATGCATACGTACATAGGTACATAGATGGTTCGCGTCAAGATGGCGGCACATAAGGTTTGCGGCATGTGATTTGCTGAGGCTTGACTTGTGAAACGGCTATGTTTGGTTCATCGCCTGGTTTGTTTGCCCCCTTTCCTGCCCATCTCGAGGATGTCACGCTGTCTTGCCCATATTCTCGTTCACCCTTGCATGATGAACTACACTTGATGCATCTCCCCACACCTTTTTCAGGTTGGAATTTGTTGTTGAATCACGGGGTTCCCACCCCACCGTTTTCATGTTTGTTTCGAAACAATGGTGATTGTTGGCGAGACGCAAGTTCATGTCAAACCCCGGACGGGCATCTTTGACATCTTGCTCATGCAAGCAAGTTGATTTTTGTTTCTTTCGGACCCTCTTATTCCAGGCCGGTTTCTTGCGTTTCAAGCCAGACGGAAGCCAACTTATTTGCTTCGGGGCTGGCTGTAGCTTATGCTGGGGAGTTCCGCTGGCCGAACAGCGGCCGAGCGGCTCCGAAAGCTTTGCTTTGAAACACACAGCCTGGCGGTGCAATGAGTTGATGTGCTGACCAATTGGGTGCGATGTTAGGATAGAGTCAATCATCAGGGGCAAGCAAACAACCATGATTGAAAAGTAATATTGGGCTTCATCTGGTTTTGTTCGCAGAAGTACTTGGATGTACTTGTGACCAGGCTTTCAAAGGCTTGTGCCATGCAAACAACCATGATCGAAAGGCTCAGGAAGAATCGGGCATCCCTTGTTGCCAACCGAGCAGTAAAGGGCGGTGACTTTGGTCTCATTTCGTAAGACGATAGTCAGTCAGTAGGCCCCTCTTCACTGATGGTTCAGTATGGCACCAGCTGGGTGCATGATTTCTTCAGAGATGATTCCATCTTAGCGGAGGTTCTCTCACAGTGAAGTGGGACGACTAGATTGCAAGGTTGGCTAGCAACGTTCTATTCAGCGAGGGTTGCCCTTGTGAGGAACTTCAGCAATTGCGCAGCGAGACTGGCGGCTGCACAACGGGTTTGCCTCAGTGGCTGGTGGGTTGCGGTGCTTGGCTAAGCCAGCCGCTGCTTGCTGAAAAAGATGCGCAGATGTGCGGCTTACATCCGACGCGATACTGTGGCGTAACTGTCTGGGTACACGTCTCCATAAGTATGTATACTGGAGACAGTATATCAAAACACCGTATATGTCGCCATGCACGTTGCATCCCAATTTGCGAGCTTGAGTGCACACATTCGGACAGAGTCCGCTCCAGTCTGGAAGAGCAGATGCAAGAAACTCCCGGCAAAGCGCAAGACAAGTCCCGGCAAAGAGCCAAGCCTGTTGTAATGCGGTGGTGCACAATGTTTATCACTGGCTGAATAATATCGCCTGGGTGGAATGATGCCACAGTGAGGCGTCATGAGCCTTCTAGATTCTCACGAAGCTCAACTCGGAACGGCTGGTGTTGATGAGATCGCCATGGCGTTTAGCCCGCGCAAAACCGAGAAGCCCAAGCGTGCGCCCTTAGGCCGTGTCCGCAGCTCAGTGGTTCGGATCGGGGATTTGAACTCCCAGTTCTTGCAGAGAGGAGGGACACCACCCCGGAAGACCACCAAACCCAGCTCCAAACCATGAGGAAGCTGAAGACGGGACTTGAGGCGCTTGCGGCTGTGCTGGAGGACAAGACCTCGCCCAGAAAGAATGCCGCTCCTGCTGGCGAAGCCGAGGCGTGCAATGCAAGCTTCGGAGGAAGCCAACCACCTAAAGGGTTTCCTCATTTTGCAACCCACTTCGGTAACACCAGTAAACATGTGGCAGGATCTTGCAGATGGAGGAGTGTTTTATCTCTGGTGACAATGAACAGTTTATCAAAGCACCAAACGAGAAAAGTCTTGGAAGGGATCAATGCTCGGAACTTCTGTCGGAGAGACCAACGGAGGCTGAGCGGGCTCTATCCATCAAGAGCGATCGCCGATTCAAGCAGATGGACGCCTTCTCTCGGCAATTCAAGGCCGCTTTCTGAGTGGATACCATGTCTTTCTGGAAGGGAGGAGAGTTGCGAGGGCCAGAAGGACTGGTCTCAATACAGTTGCCATGCAGTGAAAGGGCAAGTGGCTTGCCAAAGCCTACGAAGCGGCCATAGAAGTTTCCCAAACAAGAAGGGGGGCGCAAAACCAGTTCAGCCAACAAGGATTGCCACTAGTTTTGTCACTGCAGGGTGCCATACCTTTGCAAACGACGTGCATGGTCATTGGAGATTGTGATGACCATTCGCGGTTGGTGAGCATTTTCCTTTTGTTTCTGGGGCAATGAGGGAATGAGGGAATGAGCCTTAACCATTTAAGGGGACCAAAGCCGGAACGGTTCATTCCAACTCATTCCCTCATTCTTTTGACCAGCTCAGGCGGTGCCTCTGCCCGACCTTGCCCTGAGCCGTGTCCTTAGACGTGAGAGCGTCAGAGTTTTTGTGTGGCCCCTGTTCAGTTTGTAGTAGTTCACTCGGACATGCTTTGGGGACACGGTGAGTATTCCATTTTTTTTTGTGTGGGCATCTGGATGCTGAAGCAGGCAATGGTTTGGCCACTTGCCTTCATGTAATTGATACCCGGAAAGAGCCCTAAGTTTAGATATACCAGTGAAGACCAAAGTAGCCACAGATAGCGCATATTCTCAGTGGCTTGTGAGGCGTCCCCAGGCCGCATACTGTGGCCGGTGGTGAGGCGGCATCTTAGCATGCAGCGGGGCCCGTGCTGGGCTTTGAGAACTGAAAAACAAAAGGGGGTTAAACTTGTCCTGTTCGGAGATTGAATGACCTGCGGCATGTGTACTTCTGTGGAGGTGTGTGAGTTTGGCGGATCAGTAGTCCGAATTGAACTGGCAGAGATCAATCCCAGCAAGGGAGAAACTCGAGCATGCCGGGTTTGCAGATGCATGAAACGACCGCTGCAGAATTGGATTGCCATACTTGTTCCATGAAAGATTCTGGGCAGCCCTCAGGCAGCTACTTCTAGGCCTTTTCCGGACTGTGTGTGCGTGCTTGCGTGTGCCTGTGCTTCAATGTCAACAGATGTTCGGTGACAGGCAAAGGCTTACTTGGTTTCTGCCCCTACTTGGAGCTTCTGCAAACCACTCGCTTTGAGAGATTCCAACAGCGGATGCAACCCGCCCGTGCCAGGCCGAACGGGCCGCCTGGCCGGAGATAGCTTTCGCGACAGGGCTGAGCTTTGAAATCTCTTTTCTTTGATCAGTTTCTGTGCATGATCCTGATCTTTTGTACATGTGCATGTAATTCTCTCTACCTTCACCTCTCATTTGGCGACTGGAGCGGGTTTGTGAAGCAACTGGACCGCGGACGGCCTGCCCCAGGGAGAAGCTGCGCCTCCAACACCCAGTTCGGCCAGGCGGGTTTTTTTGAACCCGGCCAGTGAATTCCCTCATGGCTGGATTGCAACACCCGCATTTGTGATGCAGTTCGGACTTTGAACCGTCTTCACAAGATGCATCGCCATTTCCGCAGTGTTGGGCTCCGGCGGGTTGTGGCAGTTCCAATACTTCTATATCCAACTTCGTCCAGGGAGTGCTGGAGCAGGAACCCAGCCGTACCTTACTTCTTAACGGGGCTGTCCTCAGAAGTCTTACAGCTGTCTGTCTTGTCTCCAGCCCTTTCCATGGACACATGAGGCCCAGCACATGGCATTGATCGCAGTCTCCCAGGGACGTCAAGAAAGCCAGGGAAACGCCAGGCGCGGTTTGGTCTGTGCTTCCGATTCGGACCTGCTTGGGCCAAGGGGCGGGAAGTAGAACATCGCAGCATTGAGCATGTTGCCCTGTTTTCCGCAATCTTCAATTTTGGCCGAATAAGGATCAGCAGAACATTAGGCTTTTTCTTGCCCCCTAGGACAGTTGATGCATCGACCCTTTGTTTTTAGCCAGGGTCACTTGAGTCCGGGTGAGTAGATCCGTGCTGAAGAGCGCACTACGAAAGCCACCGAAAAACTTCCCTGCGACGAGATGAATGTTCAGGCTGCAAGGTTGCTTATTAGAGTGGCCTACATTTGTTTCCTGGTGTCTGCGCCATTTGAGAGGGATTTTTTTCCGCAGAGGATCCGTGTCGACTCGCTTTGGAACCATAGGAACAGGTTGAATGTGTGTTCCATGCCCCTGGGCTGTGCTGTTCCCTCACCGAGGTGTGAATCTGGAAAGTCTCACTGGGGAGGACAGAAGCAAAGTCCCCAAGGCGCTTTGGCAGGACCTCAGGGGCCCACGTGCGCGTTGCAGCTTCGAGGTAGGAGCAACTCAAGGGAGAGCCCCCGAAAACGGCCCACGGGCTTCTTGTTTGGAAGTTTGGGCGAGTTCTGTTCTCGTGATATCTGATGTGCAGGCTCAATTCCTATGTGGTTGTTCGGTGCAGTGGCAAGGAAGTTAGATTTGTCAGTAGAGATCAGGGCTTCACTGCGAAGGATTCCGTCGACAGATCCATCAAGCGCCTAATGGTAGACTTCGACCTGAGCGACGAGCCGCGGGATGCTCAATGCAGTCTCTACCCCGCCTATGAAGGCAGGAATCTGCCACAGTTCAAGAGGTGCCTTGCTCCAAGGATGTTTGGTTGTCATTTCCTTCATAGTGAGACGTTGAGTGCCATGGAGCTTGGCTTCCCCCTCATTGATGTCATCAATTTCCAGGCAACTGACAGTGAAGCTATTCTTCAGAAAGGAACACTGCATTCCTTGTTTCGATTTCGAAGCATTGATGTGCTGCAACCTCGAAGTGGTCGACGTCCCAGTTGTAACCTTGTGTCTTCAATTCGTCTATTGCAAGGACGGGTGCCCAAAAACAGATGTCGTTCGTCATCACCTTCCGAAGTAGATCTTGTGTCGCCTTGTTATTTTTTCCCCATCAGTTTCTAAAAGGGTGTGTCTCTTTTAGACCCCCCAAAGCGGCGCAACGGTTTTCCTTTTGGTTTCCCTTTTGGTTTAACCAACATTGGATATCGAGGCTCCAAAAATGACACACCCATGTGTGTGTGTGTTAGTAATGTTAGTAGCAACGTGACCTGAGTCCTCCAGTTTCTCCCTTTAGAATCAAGCCCACCTCAGGTCGTGCCGCCTCAACCATTTGGAGCGGATGCATGACTGGCCCGGAACCCCTGGTCGAAGAGGACTCTCACGTGACCTTGTCATTTTTTCGGACCCCTCCCCAATAGGGGTTCCTTTTGATTTTCCAATGAAACCACCCAAAACGTGATTGGCCTCAAAACCAGACACAAGCCTTCGTCGCTCATGGCTCGGAGGCTTTATTGGCAGGCACGGATGAATTCTTGTGACAAAGTGTCCTTCCGACCGTCAGCGGGCGGGTGCGCTGCCATTGCGCCATAGTCCCATACGATGTTTTGTGCCATACGATGCTCGAATGCAGAAAAGCAATGGCTGGCTGCAAGGCTTTCAATTCGCAGCACGTCCTGGCAATCGGCTGTCGTCAATCGCATGCTTGTGCCCCCCGCCCAGGCAGTGGAGCTGCAGATACGTTGCACATATGTTTTTCTTCTTCTTTTTTTCACGTTACTTGTAAAGGCTTCACACTGCGTTCAGAAAATAGGATCCAATTTTCGTTCCCAGGCCCAGGGAGTCCCAGAGATGTGTCCTGCGGGGCTTTTGCTGACTTGTTGGCAGTTGGCAGTGGGATCACTCAAGGCGGTTTTAGATGTCAATGCTTCACACCTTCAGTTCAGTTTTCGCAACTTGCAGTCACGCATTCAGTAGCACGATTTCCCTGTGCTTGAAATGTCTTCGATGAGTTTGTGGTTTTGGTTTCGTTAACATGTGGCGCTGAGGTTTGTGAGACACGGGCCGAAGTCTCGCGCGGGCTCGCAGGCCCGGCCTGAGAGGAGGTCAAGCGCGTGCTGGTCGAACCGGAAGCAAAGTAAACAAGTAGCGACGTCCCGGTCGATTGTGCTTAGGGAATCGAGGGGCCGTGTAAGAAATGATGATTCACCAAAACAATAAGACGCGGCATGTGAGTCAAACTCTGCACTAGCCCATTGTTAAGTGAGCCACAATCAAAACCCGGGCAAGTGAAGCTTAGTAAAGGGCGATCCCAACCATAAGTAGCAGCGGCCGCCTTCTTAATTCCTTACATGGTTCTGGGTTCACCATTCTTGTACAAGGTTTTGATTGTGGCTCAAGTGAACACGTTGCCATTTGGATCGGTGAATCGCAGGCAAGGAGGCGAGAAAGTTGCGGCTGTTGCTTTTGGCACCTCGCCCGAGGCCACGCCGGCGCCGAGCTATTTGACAGCGGACAGAAGCCGCGATCATGTGCCGGCGGGAAGGGGCTGGGGAGAGATGAGATGCCACCCAGAGTCTCGCATGCGTCAGTCATGGTACAAGGAAGGTGCTAAAACAAGGTGAGTCATTCACCAGATTGATGAGCTTTGACGTTGGACGTGCAAAGTCTTGATTTGTTTCGTTACCATGCTTGCCCCTGCATTTGGGTTTGCCATCTCTCCATTGGCTCAAGTGAACCTGGGCCCCCAATTTTCCTTGCCCGATTTGGATCGTCGGATGTGTGAGTCAGGTGCTTTGCGGCTGGGGCCCGTGGCACTGGTGGGTGCCGGGCCCGGGGATCCGGAGCTCCTGACGCTGCGGGCGGTGCGAAGGCTGGAAGCGGCGGACGTGGTGCTCCACGACAGCCTCATCCCCGAGGAGGCCGTTTTTTTTGGGGGGGTAATTCCCGAAGCATCGCGAAGGGCGTGGAAGCAGTTCCAACCCTGTGCACCTGTATACATTGCTCAAGACGTCAGTAGCAGTGCGCAGTGCGAAAAGGTTGTTAGCGGATTCTTGCCTAGGGTTTTCACCGTGGGTGGCCTGGGCTTGATAACACAGCCGTAAGGCTTGTACAGACCGCCATGCACTCTGGACACAATCCTGCTATTTACAATATATCTTGTGAAGTGATGGCGATGCAGGCAGTTCGCTGGCAGCTCGGGGACCCCGGTGACCGCTGATCCGAACGATCCGCGCAATGTTGTCGGCTTCGCCACGAGCTACCGCGCCGCGCAGAATGTATTGTACGTACATACAGACTCAAGCGATATTGTCCGCGATGAAGCAATCGCGCTCCATCGTGTGGCCATGGATGCAGCGCGGGCGGAGTATAGTACCCATTTGGCTGAAACGGTTCGACGACTGGACGAAGAGAACAGTCGCAAGTCCCCTGAGACGCAGGAGCAATTTGTGGAGAGTCGCGCTTTCTGTCATGCCCAGGTGAACCAGATGGGGAGCAATCTCTGCCAAGGTCGACAATGCTGCTGCCAGCAGCGAGTTCAGCGCAACAGGTTTTCAGAGCATGTCCGAACTGAGATGGCTATTGCAGATGGAGCTGAGAAGGCGGTCAGTGAACAGAGGGACAATTTGCTGGCGGAGAAGGAGAATCATTCCACGCAGGGTACGACTCACAGTCTCAATGATACGGTGGATTGTTTGAGGGGTGAACTTGAGAAGGCGCAATGGCCCTCCTCCCACAGCCAGTCCTCATGTTCGCACAGAATCATTTCTGGATAGAAGAGGTAATATTTATCATGATCCTCGTCCTTTTCCAACACAGAATGTTCAGACTTCCGGGCCTATGCCACAGGTAGTGCCGAAGCAATCATGGAGTGATCCTATTTCAGGAACACAGCAGTTTGATGCGAGCCGAGAATTGGGGCAACCTTAGCCGACTGGTGGCTACCTATAAAGAGCAACAAGCCGCAACGGGTAGAGTCGTTCGTGGCAGACAAGTTCTCCTCATGTTTGAACAACATTTCAGGACCAATGAGGAGCTGGGAGCATTGTATTCCACTGAAGATTTGCCCGAAGTTGTGCTTCATGGAAATGATTTGGTATCTTTCCTTCATAACTGTGATTCCTCCACTATGGCTGGTATGAAGATTGTGCCGGAGCAGCGTGTTGAAAGACATCTTTTTGCGACAGATTCGTGGATGCCAGAAGATCAAGTATGACCTGGATACGTACGAACGTGCAAAAGAAAGGTCATACAACAAAAGCTGTGAGTTCCTGGCACAAGCAGTTCGTGATTTACTTACTCGTGAGCGGCTTCAAGCCAATCGTGAAAGAGTTGCACGAGCGCACGGTCAGAAGGTAGGCGCTGCTGCTCCTAGTGATCCAGCTCGAGCACGTGACCCGTCTGCCGCAATATATTGCCATGATTTCAGTGCAACTCAGTGCAACTTGCTGCGAGACTTGCTTGGAGAACTTGCTCAGAGGAACTACTCGCGCCAACAACTTTCTCAGAGCAACCAACAAGTTTCTCAGAGCAACTTGCTGAGAGAACTGGCTTGGAGAACTTGCTCAGAGGAAATCGTGCCAACTACTTGTTCAGAGCCACTTGCACAGAGAACTTGCGTGGAGAACTTGCTCAGGGGAACTCGCGCCAACAACTAGCTCAGTGCAACTTGCTGAGAGAACTTGCTTGGAGAACTTGCTCAGGGGAACTCGCGCCAACAACTAGCTCAGTGCAGCTTGCTGAGAGAACTTGCTTGGAGAACTTGCTCAGAGGAACTCGCGGCAACAACTTGCCAAGAGCAACTTGCGCAGAGAACTTGCTTGGAGGGGTTGTCGCCGCTGCGAATGCTTTTGGGCCATCCATCTTCTAGTTTTGGTTTTCTTTTTTTGGTATGGTGTTCTTGCAAACAGAAGGCAGCTGTAGGCTGGGTACCTGGAAGGTTAGTTTCGGAATGTTTTTTGAGGGTGTTTTTCTACAAACAGAACGCAGCTGTGACGGTGGAAGATCCGTTTGCTCAAGGAAACGCCATAGGTGCTAGGAGGGTACCCTTTTGAGTTTTGAAGGGAGACCAAAGGAAAGCCGCAAAACATGTGAGATGCCCCTTTGATAGAGGTGCTGAGCTTGGTGCCGAAGACGGCGAAGCTGATCAGCGTGGGGAAGAGGTGTGGGGATGTCAAGGACCGAGGCATCCAGCAGAAGGAGATCCACGAGCTGATGCTCGCGAACAGCCGGCGCGGGTGCAGGGTGGTGCGCTTAAAGTGTGGGGATCCCTTCATCTTCGGCCGAGGGGGGGAGGAGTTAGAGTTCCTGACGGCGCACCAGGTGCCTTGCGAAGTGGTGCCTGGCATCACTTCGGCTCTGGGCGCAGCGGCGTCGTGTCAGGTTCCGTTGACTCACAGAGGCTTCAACACCAACCACGTGCACCTTTGCGTGGGGCAGAGCAAAGCAAAAACCTTGCCAGACATGGACTGGAAGGAGCTGGCCAACAGGGCCATGCAGCAGACGGCCGTTTTTTACATGGGCCTGAAGCTCTTGAACCAAATCTGTGCCACACTCAAGGAGCATGGCGCGCCTGCAGATACACCCATGATGCTAGTAGAGTCTGCTACTTCTCCGCAGCAGCAGTCGCTGCACGCCACCCTGGGCACCATGCCCGAAGAGGTGCTGAAGCAGGACTTCGGCGCTGGCGGGCCAGTTCTGATCATTCTTGGACCCACCGCCTGCTTCCCAGCGCACTTAGAAAGCTTGGCCTCGCCCAGCAAGAAGCGCCGCACGGAGCCGAGCCCAGCTGTGGCTGGAGCTCAGTTTCTCGGAGGCGAACTTGCAGCCTGAATGGCCCAAGCTGAGAGTTGAGCGACAGCACCGTGAGAGGGGCGAAATGGCCTGAGCATTTTCGCCCCCCACTTTTGGCATTTGGTGTCAGGGGTGTTGCTCCGAAGGACAACACACACATGTGCACGCTGTTTCGTTGCAGCCGTTGCATGGAGTGCACGGCGTGCTTTCGAATGCAATGAGTATCGAAACCCGCTGATTTGTCAGGTGCAAACAACATGCTTGCATGTGCTGCCTGTTGCCGTCTCCTTTCTTGGGCACTTCATTTAAGCAGGATCTGATCGTGCCCATGGCAAGTTGCTGAACTACCTTTTGTGCTTTGGCTGGCAGCCCTGGGAGACTACCAGCAGTTGCAACTACCAGCAGCTGAAACTGGCGACTGAAAGGAATCGGAATCCGATTCGTTCGCTGCCAGGCCGGCAGCATGAGGGGCTTTGCAGGCGCCGGCATGTGGATGCTGGGGCAAAGGGAAATGGCTCGCCACGAAGGGCCCTCATTTGTTTTGATTTCGTTTTTTTTTCTTTTTTTTCTTGAAGTGGGTTCTTCCTTGCTTCCTAGGTACCTTGACCCACACCCATATTATGAGTTGGTTGGTAGCTTCCCCAGAACTTCCTCGAATCGGTCGGCCCTGGCTTGTGCATCGAAAAGCTCGGCAATACTCAGAAAAATTAAGTGAATTTGGAAAGTTCCTTTTCCGGCTTTTCGATTTCAACTTTTCGATTGCTTTGCCATTCTCTAGCTTCTAACTTCAGCTGGTTGATTTGAGACATTTCTTTTTGAACAGCGCTCGAGCAACACGGAAACATGAGGGCATTCGTTTCAGTCGCGAGTCCTTGCAGCTTGAAGACCTGGGTTAGTGACTGATCTGTGCCCAGACACACAGAAGAAGATGGCTGGATTCTTTTTACCTGGGCAGGCTTGTGCTGGCGCTCATATCACGGGATGCCAGGCGACATGACACATTCAGCATTTTCCTCAAAACATATCTGTTTATACGTCCCTCTTCGCCTCCTTCAGCAACGCATGGCAAAGGGAAAAGGTTCGAGACACGGTTGAGACGTGGCCGTGATGGCGCTCAGGCGTGCTGAGTCCAACCTCGGAGCTGATGTCCAGTATGCCGGAAGCCCATCCGTTGGCTTGTTTTTTGATCAGGGAACGAGAAATGGAAGGACCCCGAGAAAAACCGTTCCTGATTTGATATCCGAGAAGGAAAATCACCAGGTTCATTCCCTTATTCCCTAGGGGGGACCAGCAAGACATCTGCTTTTGATCAGTCGCTTTCACGGTTTTGGGTCGGCGAGGTATTCTCCCCGCAGTGCGCGCTCGCGCCCGACCACGCGGGGTTGAGCAGCAGCGCCGAAGACGGTTGCGCTGAAAGAGTTGTCTGTGGGCGGCCAGTTTCTCTGGATTCGTTGTGAGATTTTGCTTGGATGGCGTGCCATGTGCGCCTGCAAGCAGTCGTTCTTTGTTGCCAAGGGCTTCGGGGCCTTCATTGCAATTGCTTGAAGAAACTGGCGAGCGAGGTTTCTCTCGTGCTCGCGATGCATGCTTTGAGGCTTGGCAAAGCCATGCTTCGACTGCATTGCGCTTTTGCTGCCGCATTACTGCCAGATGTGCAGACCAGGCAGGCTCAGAGATAACTTACCGAGATAGCTGCGTTGCTTGCCTCTTCGAAAGGTGACAACATGGCGATCTCTCCTATGGCGCGGGCAACCCCAACCAACACTTGCCTTGAGTTTGGGTGAGGTGGGATGCCGGGGGTTGGCCATTACTCCAAAAAGCTAAGTCGTGCTCGCATCAGCCATGGGGTGGAGCTCATTTTTGACACTCTGACAGAAACTGAGACTGGCTCTTGCCCATAACGGACCCAGACGTCTTCACCAAGACTCGTGGCAAGGACACTGCATTGTTCTTGCAAATGCAATTGACCTGTCAACATAATTGATTTCTGAGTGACCACTTACAACGTGCCTATTGAACGAGACAGGCGTCACCATTTCATTTGCAGAGATTGCGGTTTGGCATGGGCTCAGAGAGGTCCGGGTTTTGGAACATTCCTGATATCTCTTGAAAGTTGTCTGACGAAGGAGTAGCAGCGTCTGCGGGGATTCGGGGCAAGTCCCATGTCCCATGACACCTGGGCTAGTTGCCTGAAGGCTCAAACAGCACGCAAAAGATGTGGCAAGCCGAATAAGCCAGCCTAGAGATCCTCGTCTAGGCAAGAGTAACTTTAAACGCCCACATCTTTCCCACTGCTGCTTTGCTGGTCAGCTGCTTCCCTCGCCTGTATGGCGGTGCCTTGACGTGCATGCCGGGCATTGCGGCGTTTGATGGCATCACAACGACGGCGATTGAGCCAAGGAGGCGGTCCTGGCCGATCGCCGCGGGGCTGCTGCTTCTGGCGCTGCCAACCCTGGCCCTGGCTGCCTTTGTCATCGCGCAGCAGCGCGCGAGCAATCGCCGGGCAAAATCCCGGCCTCCCCGGCCGCTCCCAGAAGAGCACCATGCCTGTAGCGCGCTCGTCGGCGCGCATGCCTTTGTTCTGAACCTGGACCGGCGTCCTGATCGCTTAAGGCGGGATGACTGGAGATGCAGACTTTTGGACTGAGAAGACACGTGTGACGGACTGCCGTGCTCTACAAATTTGTGCTTGGCCTTTGTGCGGCAGACTGTCCAAAGAAAGAGTACTCAACTGGCTGCAAACGCGCCTCACCCTGAAGGGAGTGCCAAACACACGCAGCAGGCAACTGTAGAATGGGTCATGCTTAGCCAACTCACTTTCAGCTTGGGCCGTCCCGTGGCAGGAACTTCTCGCAGTTCTTGTCGCAAGACTCCCCGTGGCTTTTCGACAAGACCTGCCGCGTGAGCGCGCCGGATGGGCGTGCCTTTGGCCCACACCTGAAGTCGAACCTTGTGGCCGACAACTTGTGGCATCCCGCCTATGGAGCGGCAGCTTTTCTTTGTTGCTTTCCTTGATGTGTGGGTGCCGCCTCGCTTTGATGCCTCAAACTCTAGAATTTGACTTGCTACCCCTCATTCATCCCTGTTCTTGGTGCTACTCATGTGGTTCCTGTTGCGCTCATGGCTCATGAAACATGTGCCGATGTTCACTGCGATTGCGGAATTATGAAAATTGTCTAATACAAATCTACAATGTCATAGAAGCTCGAACTTACAATGTGATTTATATTACAAATTACAATTTACACCCAGGGTACCGTTTCGAGGGGCAGTCGCCGGGACCTCGGCGCCCTTCGCGCCATTCGCGGCTGAGGCGGGACGCGCAGTTCCGCACCCGGCAGCGGGTGCCGACGCTGGGGGGAGATCTGACCAGCGGGGCGGTGGCGTTGATCATGGGCCACGCCCGGGTTTGGGAGCAGATCTTGCAGAGCGGGGCGGCCTGGGGCATCCTCTTCGAGGCGCGAGCGAGTGTGGTGTCTCGATGGGGGCGCTTTAAGGTGGACATCAAGCTTGGTGGGGTGTGCACCAACCACTGTTTTGAGGGGGTTCCAATTGTTGAAGCTCAGAGTGAAGATGTTTGAAACAAGATTTGGAGTTGAGTTTTTGAAACCACCCTCGTAGTCCTTGGGTGTGTGTGTGTGACTTGAAGATTAACCTCCCCGAGAAACCCTGAAGCATTTAGCATGTTCCCACAGTCATCCTTCGAAAGGATTGTTACTTGATTCCCAACAGAGTCAAAAGTGAGATCAGAGTCATGCGCACTGGTGCATGGGCCAGCCTGGTTACATCTTCTTTTTTTTTTGGTGTGCATTTTGCAGTTGCTTTCGTTATACCATTTCTTTCTTGCTTCAGAGCTTCCCTGTTTCTAATGTGTTCCGAGCCTTGTGTCCGGATGCCCCCAGATCTAGGAACAGGCGAGCCACACTGCAACAAGTCGCAACTATTGGCAAGTTGCTTTGAAGGATGAGTGATGAGTGCTTGCAAAGAAGTGGCATGGAGAGGATGTCTCTTCTGCAGGAGCCCAAATTGTCTGTTCTGTCACAGCGGAGCTTCAGGGCCACTGTCACATATTTTCTTCAGACATCAGGATATTCATACTATGGCCGCTACGGTAGGCGACTCTCTGGATGGAAAGAGCTGGCTGAATCGCAGGAATTCCATGAATTCCTGCTCTGTTCGTGTCATTCGCTGTCACACTTGCCCCTGGTGGGACTAGGATGACATCCACTACCTGCACCCGGATTTGCAGAACTTCCTGTGCCAGCTGGGGGACACTCTGCCCGCGCCAGGCGAGGAGTGGGACTACTTGCAGCTGCAGGGCGGTTGCAGCCTGCAGGGCCCGAGGCTTTCGGCACAGCGTTGACGAAAATCTTTCTTGTGATGTCGAGTTGCTTTTGATCCCAACCCCAGGGCCATTCAGATGGCCCGGAATTCCGAGTTGCCAGCTGGATCTCCAAAGTTGCGGCAAGCAAACCGCACGGGTGACGGCTCCCTTGTCGCCTCCGCAAAGCACCGGTAGGCTGCAAGTCCGGCCGGGCACCAACTGGAACACCGGCATGTACATCATCTCGCGCCAGGGAGCGAAGCGTGCCCTACAGGCGGAAGGGGGGATTCCATAGATGGCTGTGGGTCAGAAGTAGGTACCGAGAATGGCTTGCCCTGGTAAATGGAAGCAAAGACTAAAACCTGCGGTCCCTTGATGGTTTAATTTTGACCCATCCAGCATAAGCAAACCAGTTGCAGCAGTCTGCCGTTGGTTTTGGTTGACTCTCTCCGACGAGTGGTTCGATGTCTATGAGGAACCAGAACGCATGGTTCATGAGAAATGTATTCCACCTGCGAGACGTTGACAGCGTACCCGTGGCTTTATTGCCCTGACTTTCTCTCAAGTCGACTTCAAGAGTGGGGGGGTCCCATGTTTTCAACATCAATTTCCTGGGCTACAAAATCTGGCTTGGGACACCCCACCCCACCCCACGCCCACCCCCTTAACCCACAACCCATCCATCGCCCCGACGAGGCGTACTTCCCGCTGCCTCCCGGGCAGCTGGACAACCCCGAGGGCTTTCTGCGGGCCCACCTGCGGGGGCACCTCACCTGCCCCGAGGCGGCCAAGCAGCCGGGCTCGTTGCAGGCGCCTCGAAAACGGGGCGGGGGGGACAAGAGGCCAAACGCTCATTGGGGGCGCGGGGTGCGGATGGGAGAGGCGACTTTTTGGGTTCTCCGGTTTTTGCGGCAAGAGAGTTCCCCAAGGCTTTAAGAAAAGGGATGGCATGGGGTGTGATCATCTAAACGATCAGGGGAGCTCTCAGGAGAGTTTGTCCAAGGCGGCAAGGCTGTTTGAAAGGCCTCTTTGTAAAGCGGTGAAGATACAAAGAAAGCAAAAGTGTCATTAAGAAAACGGGCTTGTTGGAGGCATGTTGATAAATGACCTGATTCTTTGTGCTTTGCCTTTGCCTGGGGCTTAGCTTGAGGCCCGTGAGGCGTGCCCACAAAACTTCCGCGCGTTTGTGCCACCAAAGAACTGCACTCCTGTTCAACAGTCCGACGCCAACGAAGCATGTGACCCACCAAACACAGGCCACGCCTGGCTCGCGAATGATACGCCACGTTTTGCCGCGATGGCCCCAGCAACGTCCTGGCCGCTGATCACGCTTCAGCTGCATCAATGATAAAACCCTTGAGCTGCCCCTGCCATGAATCCGGTTGAGCCTTTTCTGCGCGTCCTCCATGTGCAACTCATGCACGAATGACACAAAGGCTAGGACCGTCCTGCGACGACCTGGCGCCAATCCCTCGACGTGCTTTTGTTCGAGCATGGGCATGTGATGAACTCAAGTATTATAAGGGGCTAAATAGTCAGACATTACTTTCTTATGATTATGTCTTCCTTTCCTTTGACAGTGCCCCACAGCACTGTTCTAATTATCTGAAACATGCCATGTAGTGAAACGAGTCGTGGCCTGAGCAGTGGCTGAGTTTTGCGTGAGGGCAGAGAGATACAGGTTCCTTCATCATTGGAACCATCACGCATGTATGCCGCTGGCGGTTTCGTGAAGATTGTGACAAGTTGTCTTGCGCAATGACATGTGCTGTTGCCATAGTACATACAAGTATTTGACTGTTGGGCGAGTGTGTTTGCACACGGCACTCGTTTGTGCGTAAGAGCATGTTTTGAATTGATGCTTTTGACGTGCGCTGCCCTTCTCCTGCGCGTGAGCCCTTTGCTGTGTGAGCCCTTTGCTCATGTAAGTGCCCCTGTGATGGATGCCCCAAGTTTTGCATCCCAGGGAACAAGGACACCCTCCTTTTTGCAGGTATTGCCCATGGTTGTGCGTTTGAGCATGGTGGGTTTGCATATGTTTTGGGCATCCACCCCTGAAGCATGCTGTTTGTGACTGGCAAGCTCCAGCTCGCGGGCTCGAGGACACCGACGTGCAGATCCCCAACAGCTTCCTGGCCCAACCCCTGGTTCAGGACTGCGCGCCTTTGGCGAAGGACCAGATGGTGCACCCGGACCTCTTGCACCCGGAAGTGGAGTCCCTGGACGCGTGAGGAAAAGGAATGGAACGCTCCACAGGCCCGCCGGCATGGAAAACGACTAGCATCATTGCAGGCGCTACCACTTTTCGGCATGTCTTTGTTTTGGTTCCCTTTAAAACCACAAAAGCCGGCTGGGGTAGCCGCCGCCCCCGTTTGGCCCTTTGCCCAGCGCGACGTGACTCGCAGCCTCTAAGCTCGGGATGGCGGGATCTCCGATGCCGCCGTCAGGCGGTCGGAGGGGGCGGATGGGGCGGATGGGTCGGGTGGAGAGGGTGCCGTACGTAACGGAGCCTTTGGTCCCAACGGCCCTGTTTTGTCAGGCAAATTGTGAGCTGGCGGTTTGGAGTGGTGGGAACTGGAGTTGGATTTGAAGCCCTGGTTCTTGTGGGTAAATGGGAAAGCTCCTTCACCACCAGACCACCGATCCAAACCTGTCAATGTGGAAGATTGGGGGTATACCCTGAGTTGGTGCTTTGTGTGTGTCTTGTGGCTAGGTCTTGTAGGTAGCCCAGCTTCGTATCAGCTCGGATTGGTTGAACTGCCCGTCAGGCGGTTTCGACAAGGCGCGCGGCGGCTGGCGTGTTATTTGTCCTGTTTTGCTTGAGAGGGGAAACACATAGACGCTTAAAGTTCCTGTGGCAAAGCTGCTGGGTGTTGCTTTGCTTTGCTGTCTTGCTTGTTTGCTTGCTTGCTTTGCATTGCTTTGGTTGATTGCTCTCTTTCTTTGGTTTGTTTTGCTTTGGACTGCTTTCCTTTGCTTGCCTGCTTTCTTTCTTGCTTTGTTGCTTTCTTATTTGCTTGGCTTGCTTGGCTTGCTTGCTTGCTTGCTTGCTTGCTTGCTTGCTTGCTTGCTTGCTTGCTTGCTTGCTTGCTTGCTTGTTTGCTTGCTTGCTTGCTTTCTTGCTATCTTTGCTTTCTTGCTTCCTTGCTTTCTTGCTTCCTTGCTTTCTTGCTTGTTGTTTGGCTTCCTTGGCTTCCTGCGCTGCCTTGGGTTGCTTGGCTTGCTTTCTTGGCTTGCTTGGCTTGCTTGGCTTGATTGGCTTGCTTGGCTTGATTGGCTTGCTTAGCTTGCTTGGCTTGCGTGGCTTGTTTGGATGGCTTGTGTGGATTCTTTGGCTTGCTTGGCTTGGCTTGCTGGGCTTGCTTGCGGGTTTCAGCCAATGGTCGTTCTTGCCCTGTGTATGGTGTCACCTGATGGTACAACTTCCCGCCAATCCCAGGTGGATCTATTCAGGGTGATCTCGCTTTGCAGTCGTGTGACTTACTAGTACATCGAGTTTTTCGGTCGCTCAACGCTGACTCTTCTGCGCGGGTTTTGGGAAACCATTCGACGAAAGCCAGGATGGCGCACCGCGTGTCGCCCAGCGGTGATTGATGAAGAAAAGCCACCGACCGGAAAAGTGATCTCAGATGCCAAGGCGTCAAGTGCTTTCCCAGTTGCCATGACCTCCCTGGACGAACAGTTTTTGCGCAGCACACTCTTCTCGCGGTCTGTGTGTTGAATCATTTCCTTTTGGACATGTTTGACCTCGCACGAGGGGATTGCAGCCCCAAACTGGGGCATAGGTTTGAGCTTGCCGAGGGTCCAAGAGATGTCGGAGCGGCGTCAGCGGCGCCTCAAGCGGTTGCGGGCAGAAAAGGCGGGAGGGGCGAGAGGGCAAAGGAAATGGTTCTCAAGAAGCACAACTGGGCCCGCAAATATGGACCCCCTGTCCAGGCACGTTGGTTTCTTTTATCGGCTCATAGACACTCCACGTTGGTGGGAGGTGGCGCTTTTTGGTCGAGGTCCGTGTGCATGGAGGTAGATGCGGGGCACCCGCAAGTTCAGCCTGCAATGCGGCACGACCCTTGCAGAAACCGCCTACTTTGTAGTGTCATATTTGCAGGGCTCCTTCGCGAGTATCAAAGACAAGTTAAGCCATTCACCTCAGCTTGCCAGTGGCCACATTCCAGGGGTACGAAGCACTCTCGGCAGGAAGAGATCCAAGCAGCGCTTCGGGAGAGCCGTTTGAAAGTGCCCTTGGTTGCGGGCGAACATGGCTAAGATGCGTCGCACTGGTGGCGCAGCGTTGTGCCATATGGGTGCGTCTTTTGTTCGGGGAGCCCCCAAAATGGCGTTGCTGTTTTGCTGTGCCTTTGGCAGGGGTTCATTGCTGTGCCTTTGGCAGGGGTTCATCAGCCCATCCATTGACTGTATTTTTCCTTCAGAACTTCAACCCAGGCAGTAAACCGCCAACCCACCGCTGGGTTTTCCTTCGAGTTTGCCTTTAAACCCCCCAAAACGAGGGTCCTGACACCATGTCTTTGACGTCGGGTGGCCACGTGGTGCAGACGTCAAGACAGGACGCGCCAGCCAGGTACGGCAGCTCGAGGCGGCGCAGGTGCTCTTCACGGCCCCCGAGGCGATGCAGTTCGCAAGGGTTCATGGTCAACACCGGATGGCGCCCCAGCATGTTTCTTGTTTTACCCGTGAAACTCGCAGTGCATGTTGAAACTTGCATATTCGTGTTGATGTGCCTATGCCGGGTTCTTTACTTTAGAAATCGGCAGATGGAACTCTGCCCAATTCGCAAGACGTGAGGTGGGCACACCTCATCACGTCAGGTGGAAAACACCGAGCTGTGCTTGTCGCCAGCATCGTCCACGTGCCTTGGAAGCACTTGGTTGGACACCAAGGAGGCATTAGGCCGAAGGAAATTCTGCAAGGGGTTGTTTTTGTGCTTCTTTTTCCATTTTCCGGCTCTTGAATCGAAGGGTTTGGCTTTTTCTGCCCTCTTGGATATTGGTGAGCCCCTTACGTGTTTGTTCACTTCCCTTTTTTATAGTAAACGGGTAGAGAGGTTGGAGCTATTCTGAGGTGCGACCCCGAACCCCAGCGCTTCTGCGTGCAGGAGGTGCATGCGTCCATGTTTCAAGGGGTCGGATGGAAGCAAAGGGTCAGGGTCCTTTGAGGACTTTGTCAATCCATGCTGTGGAATGGGATATCTTAGGGACCTCATGCATGGATTTCGGATTTCGGGGGTGCGACGGCTTCTGATTTTGTGTATACATATATATATATGTATACTGGGTTGCTTCAATTTTGAGGGCTTTGCCCCACCGGCTGCGCTGGTTTGGACCTCTGTCTTGGATCTGCCGCCGAAGAGAACCACATTTTAGCGAGCTTCGCTGGTTGTCGTTTGCTTGTTGTCGAGCTTCGGCCTTGTTGCTCTGAACTGCCTGCGGCAAGAAGTTTGAGTACATGGAGACCATGCCTAATGTAACATTTGAATTGCGTATGAAACGGGCAAAGACAAGCGAAAGACGAGCCGAAGCAGAAGTTCGACACCCGACAACATGTGGCACAACCACACAAATTCAACTCCACTCCCTTCCCTGGAGGTTGGGGTGGCTTTAGGATTTGTTCAGTGTTGGTCACAAGGTGTGGGTTTAGACTTGGTTTGAGGTTGCTTCGTTTGGTTTCTGGAGTCATGGTATTTAGTGTCTTGGAGTTGGTACGAGGTTAGTTTGGCATTGAAGGCTCTTAAGGAAGCTGGATTTGAGAGCTGGTGTCAGGGTGTCATGAGCTGAGGATGTTGGGGCTGCCACATGCAGATGATATGCAGAAGATGATGCAGCTGATGCAAGTGATGCAGAAATGAAGGCAGGAGATGCAGTGCCGGTGACGCAGATGATGCAGATGATGCAGATGATGTAGATGATGCAGATGATGTAGATGATGCAGATGATGCATATGATGCAGATGATGCAGATGATGTAGATGATGCAGACGATGCATATGATGCAGATGATGCATATCATGCAGACGATGCAGACGATGCATATGATGGAGATGATGCAGATGATGCAGATGATGCAAACGATGCATATGATGGAGATGATGCAGATGATGCATATGATGCAGACGATGCATATGATGGAGATGATGCAGATGATGCAGATGATGATGATGCATACGATGCATATGATGCATATGATGCAGATGTTGCATATGATGCAGGTGATGCAGGTGATGCAGGTGATGCAGGTGATGCAGGTGATGCAGGTGATGCAGGTGATGCGATGCTGGGATGGAGGATATGCGGGAGATGCGGGTGATGCAGGACATGCAGGATGCGGAGGGTGCAGATGATGCAGATGATGCTTTGCGTGCAGGCGTTAGTGAATAACAGTGGCTCCAGCGCTTTGAAAGGGCCATCTCAGCACATGACATTTAACACCAGGTAACTGAAATGGAAGCTTGCCTTTGTTAGAGGAAACGGCAAACTGCCGCTGCTAAGTATTATCTGGGCAAATTATGGCGGTCATCTGACCTCACTGTGCATTTGACCTAGCAATCCTGACATAAGGGTCGTTGTCCGTTGTGTCACCCAGATTTCCACTTTGAAGGGATCCAGAGAGCACGGGGTATTTAAGGAGTTGCCGCCTGGAGCCCTTATTGATGGGGTTTCAGAAGTTGCCGTGTTGAGGCACAGCGGTGCCACAACCTAAGTTACTTCAGACCGACCTTCTAGACAACGACCCACCGACCTAGGACAAATAATTTACTGAAAGGTATGCATATGCGAGGTGCCAAGGAAGGGGTTGGTGTGTTTGAGAATTCCTGCTGAATTGGTGTCCTTCCTCTTCTCCAAGAGTTTCCATTGCTGAACTCCTGGCGCCTTCTCCTGGCAGGGCCCGGCGGCGGCGCAGAACTTGCTGCGCTGGCGGCAGCTGAGGCGAGTGCTGCAAGGTCACCAAGAGGCACGCGGGTTGTGGCACAGGTTCTTTGGGCTCTTTGGGCTCTTTGCTATAACCCAAAGTGGGTTCAACAACTGATGTTGAAGCTGGTTCAACTGGAACATATGGGTATCCCTGAAAAGCAGAACCAGAAGAGTCAGGCTCTTTGGGTTCTTTGCTAAATCCTTTGTGCGTTGCCGCAGGCAAGGCAGTCGTAAACCGGGTTGGGGATATCCTAGAACCCCCCGCTCATTCGAGTGAATGAGTGGCTCCTCTTCGACACACCTGCAACAGACTAGCGTCTGGCCTGGTCTTGGCCAGACCTTGGAGCACGAGAAGTCCATGTGGCAGACAGTGCTGCAGCAACAGGAGGATCCGGGACATTGAACTGAAGGTTGCTGGGTGTTCTCAAGCTTTTCCTTTTGTTGCCACTCTCAAAAGGAAGCAAATGATGAAAGCGCATCAAAGACTGTAATTCAGCAGTCTTTTGCTTGTAGCAGCCTAGCTGGACTTCATGCCACCTTCTGAGCCTCAGGGCGCAGGTTAAGATGACCAAACCAGATGCATGACAAGCAATTCTCAAGGAGTATCATTTTGTGTGTTCTCTTTTTTTCTTCTTTAAAATCTTGTTTTATAATGTTTTGGGGCTAGTCCCTCATGATTCCGGACAGTGGGCAACGTGGAGGGAGGTTGTCAAAGTCATGGCTCTCTGAAAACAGACTGATAGAACAAGACGGCACAAGCAAACACGCACGCACACATGCGCAGCACACGCGCAGGGGGCAGGCTCAGGCGCCCGCAGGCACTGGCACGGGCACAGGCAGGTCACATGCAGGCGCGCATGCACTGGCGCACGAACGCGCGCGCCACGCTCACATGCGGACTTGTGAACACATGCACGCACGCGGCCAACAAAACGACAAAGTCCCAGGAGCCAACGTTTGAAGTGGGAACAAGGCATCCCCAGGACCAGCCATGTGTAAAAGCAGCTATGGGCACAAAATGCGGATCTGTTGTTGGCGTTTCAGCCGAGCTTCCTGGACTAACCTGGCGCGCAGGAAGATGGGAAGCAGCTGAGGCAACGCGTTGCAGAGGCGCCTTCTGCTCCTTCGAAGCGTTTGCGACTGTTTTGGTACCATTTTGGGGTAAGTGCACCTCCATTTTTGTCTATTTTAGTGGGGATTGGGAAGTTCACTGGGGGTACGGGATTTTGACCCATGGCCACAAAGATGGTGCCGGGAGTTTGCCACGTATTTGCAAGCCCTTGAATCAAGAGTCCTCCCGCATGTGTTTGGAAGGCGATTGGAACTCACAGGCCTTCGCCGATGCCATTGGTTTCTCATGTCTTGGTGGTCCCCTGCCGTCCCCTTACTAGGTTTCTAGGTTTTTAGGGTTTAGTGGGGGTTTCCATTGAACCCACTAACAGTTAAACTTTTAGCATGGGATCTGAGGACGTCTCAAATGATTTGCCCTGCTCACAAAGCGATCTTCGACATTGGTTTCCTGGGTTGTTTGCAGAATGAATTGCAAGCACTGGGCACAGAGCGCAGGCCGGCTATGCAGTTTTCCTTTGGATACTTCAGTGTTTAGACCTCCCCATCCCTTCGCTTGGGTTGTTGACTGTTAGGTTGCGGGCGGTTGGCTATTGGGCTATTGGGTTGTTGAGCTGTTGGGTTATTGGGCTGTGGATGGTTTTGTTGGGCTGTGGTTTTTGAGCCCCTGTTCGGTTAGGCGTCCTAGACGACTCGCGGTTTGGGGTTCGCGAGGCGCAGGAGATGCAGCAGCTGACGGAGAGCCGGGTGCAGAACCTCATGGATCTCATGGCGGCGGGCTCAAAAAAAAACGGGCCCGGGTGAGTGGAGCGTCTGGGGTACAGGGAGGGTGCGTCTGTGGAAAGTGTGGAACTCATCGCAAGCCATGTGTCATGGTCCAGAAATCCCATCCGGACATGGCTTCGCTCCGGAAAAACGACAGTCACCCCGAGCTCCCTGAGCTGAAGGCGTTGTGCGGCACACGCGCAGCAGACCTCTCGCCATGCGTTGATAGTGCGACGACTCGCCAGTGGAACTGCTTGGTGTCTCTCTAAGAAACCAACTACAGGAAATTCTATAGGAAACCCCTGATTTTTGTGGGTATTTGGCTAACTTCCTGTAGAACTTCCTGTAGCTGGTTTCTATGAGTCTCCGTGTGTCACACGACAGTAAATTTCACCCACGGTCAAGACTAGCTTGTTGACACGTCTGTGGGTCTGTCTGCGCGAATCACACTCACTGTGGAGCAGCCGGTAAGTGCATGAGCTGAGACCTTCTTGCCTTGCTATTTGTCTTGAAAATTGGGCAAGAGCTCAAGAGTAGCTCCTCTGCAGCGGCTTTTGTCATTGACCAGTCAGCCTAACACATGGGAGTCCTGAATTCCACCACGTGGTTGCCTGTCAGTGTTTTTCTCGCCTTACGGCCCAGCAAAACGCACTACTCTTGAAACCACCAGACTGGGCCGAGCGTCTACAGGTGGCCTTGCTGTCGCCCGGCTACTCCCCTGAGAGCCAGCAGGCTGACTGGTGGGGGCAGCTGCTTTCTTCGTGTCACGGGGCTTGCAGCCCATCTGAGGGTACCTTGCATGGGATTTGCAGCGCCAGTTCTGCAATTTGTCGGGCCTTTTCATCTGTTTCATTTTTTTTTGCTTGCTACCGCTAGAATCTCAAGAAGCGCAGTATGTTGGATGTTGGGTAAAGCCTTTCACCCACTAAGAACTGTATGTGGAACATTCTGAATTCAATTCCATGATCGGTGGCGATTGATTCTTCCCAGCCCATCCGAGTACGCTGATTGCAGGAGCTCGTGCAGTCCAAATACCTGGCAATGGTCCAGGCACCAGACGAGGGTCTCGGCCCCCTTCAACAAGACCCCCAGCTCCAAAAAGTTGACACTTCGCTTGTCTCTTTGATGACCGACGACCTTAGCTATGACATGAGATAGTGTGTTGTGGACAGAGCTGTATTATTGCTAGGCTTGAGCACCAGAACAGAAAAGGCTCAAGTGGCTGTGAGTGCAGCTGAAGTGCAAAAGATTTGAACATTAGAAACAATGCTTGCGTTGTATGATTCAATCCTGAGGTTTTGGGTATGCTTGGGGAGAACATGCGTCGGCTCAGCGTGCCACGGCTAGGTCTTTGTGCTAACTCAGGACTTTTGGCCCACGGAATATCGACGTGGATCAACAGAGCGCGCTTGCAATATCCATCTCAACTATTGGGAGGTGGTTGGAGAGTAAGTTTCGGATGTGTCGTGGCTAGGCTTGTTTTTGGCGCCAATCTACTCAGGAAGTGGGCACAGGCCTTTTGAAGTTGTTGTGCATGATGTGCAGCTTTCAGAACCCTCGGGTCATCAGCTTCCATGTTTTTTTTGGAGGGAGGGCCGTGATTGGCACGGGGGCCAAATGGCTGCACCGAGCCGCAGAGCGTTTCTGCTCGCGGCACCCCGTCTTACTGCCCAGGATCTGGACGTTCACTGCAGCCGTGTGTCTGAGCATTCCCGGCGGGCTTGAACATGGCGGATGTGAGGAGTGTCCAAAGGTGGAGGACATTTGGGTATGGGTCAAAAAAAAACCACCAGGGGACCGCAGGTCTTAGTCTTTGGTTCCATTTACCAGGGCTCCATTTTCGGTTCGCATTTTTGACCCACAGCCATTTAAAGATGATCAAACGTAAAGGCATTGCGCGCATTGTGTGCTGCCAGATGTCTTCTTTTTGTTGTCCCGAGAGACTTTTGGGTAGGTTTGACCACTGTTTCGTGAACCCAACTCTGCCAGCCCATGTATTGGCTTATTTGCTCCAGCTCTGGCATTGCCTTGTTCCCCGCCAGGATGTCATGCGGCGCAGAGAACCAGCTAGCTTTCTTCTTTTTTCGGCCACGTTTCGGGGGTCCTGGTCCCTGTTTCTGCCAAGGAGGCAGCCGGAATGGGTCCCAAACAGAGCCCCCGGCTTTGACCGCCAGGAGGGTCGCTGCCTTCCAGACGGCCCTGGAGGCTGAGTGTCTCACCAGTGGCCGCTTTGGGTGGTGAGCTTCTGAGGTAAACTGTCCTCTTGCTTGGAAGCGGTTTTTTTTCTTTTCTCTTTTTTCTTTTTTTCGAGCATTCATTCGGAGGCGGGGTTTGTTACTTGAGTGAAGGAAAGTGGACGGCTTTCAGAGAATTCACGGGCTTCTGTCTCTTTGTCATGGATCAAGCTTGTTTTGAGGCTGCTGCTGATGCTGCTGCTGACAATGCTGCTGCTGCTGCTGCTAATGGTGATAGTGATGGTGAGCACCAACTTTACGTCTTTGCAGTGCAGCCGTTCCCCATTTTATCTCAAAGTTTCGGGGCAAGGTGTCGCTATATTTACTGTACGGCGATGCTGGTGATGGACAACAATTTGCATGCATTGGATTTGCATGGTTTGCAACTCAGAAATGCAAGTTTTTGCGTAGGACTTGTTCTTGTTTTTCTACACTCCCTTTTGCGCACGACAAAATCTATGGTGAGTGCCAGAAGCATGACTCTCTAATGCGAGGTTCGCATTGACTGCGGGGCTGAATCGGTCCTCCGCAGGGGGAGCGCGGCGAGAACTGCTGCAGGGCCCTCCAGCTCTGCGACCAGCAGCGCCGGACGACCAGGCGGGTCTGGAGGGGTCTGACGTGGCCATGCGTCAATGGCTCCATTTTGGAGCGGAACACCCATGTGCCACCTATTTTGATGTTCAGCACAGGTACAGGGTTTGGACCAGCCACATGGCGGTCTTTTGCCTGATTTCCTCTCTGGACTCGGTGCAGGGATGGCTAGAGAGAGAGAGAGAGATGACATATGCAGCTCCAACTTCTGAAGGACTTCATTGACTCGAGGCCCCCGATGGGAGCTGCAGGAAAAAAAGGGGGAACAAGTGCCGCAAGTGGAAGCTCTCGGCAGGCCGTAACAGAACACATGGCTGTGGGTCAAAACCGTTGTGGTACCATTTTGGGGTAGGTGCACCACCCATTTTAGTCTATTTTAGTGGGGATTGGGATGTTCACTACTGGGGGTACGGGATTCTGACCCATGGCCACATGACGCCCTCGGAGCTCTTGTTGCAGGCTTCACGAAGTGCTTTGTCAGCTGCAAAGCGAGCTGTTTCAGACACGCCCGGCGCCAAGACGCAGAATCTAGGGCACGTGGTGCTGGTGGTCATTGGGCAGTTTCCTGATGGGTGGATTGTGTTGGCTGTGACGATTGCATGCCCTGGTCACTAGAAGGCATTGTGAAGCCAGCTGACTTGGCGAGGTTACTTTTTTTTCCTTCTTGTCTTGCGTCCGTAATTGCCGGCTGGCCCGAGTGCCTAGTGGTGGCATGTTGTATGACTTTTGGCAGGCCATTGGGGAAGAATGGAGTAGTTCTCGACCAATGGGCCCCTTCCGAGAAGACAGCACTCGTGAAACGCTGCTCCATTGCTCTTCTTTTTTGCCTTCAGGTCGTGATGCCGGTAAAAGAACCGCCGCGCCTTGCTCAGTCTCCCGGTCACTCCGGTCCTAACGGGCTCGTATCTCCACCAACCATCAAAGCCAAAACTATTGTACAATTCTTTTTCTGTGTGGCTGTGGCTCGAAAAAAATGTACCAAAATGACATGAGTTTCTGGGCTAAACAGTTTGCCCTATTTGCTCACCGTTTTTCCCGTCCATCCAGAGGTGACCCCTCATGCTGTTTTGGAGCCCTCAATCTTCGAAGACTTGATATGTTTTGCCATGCCGCCCAGCCAAGGGTGCTGAAGACACCGTTTCTTTAGCTTTTTTTCATTGCTTGTTTTGCTTGTGTTTCTTTTGACTGCTTGGGAGGCTGAAAATCCGGGTTTTGGTGCTTGCCCGATTGTTGCGGGTTTTGGTGCCTTCTTTATGTGGACTCAATTCAAGTTTCCCTTCTTTGAGCCCAAGCGCAGGGATCGCGGATCGCGCCTTTTGGGGGCGAAACTCCTTCGCAGCCTAGTTTCTGGGCCCATGGGTTGGAGTCTATGGGCCCATGGGCTGGAGTCGCTTTTATGTGGCTGACATGGGGTCTCGGTCTTGGAACCTGCACCAAGGATGCTCCAACGGAGACGGCCGGGAAGCAAGAGATCCCTCTTGGCTCCTCAGGCTGCGTTGTGCGTCTGATCACCCGGCAAAAGTGAAGAACCTGTTTGTCGACTTTTTGCATTTGTGGAGGCCAGTGCACGTCATGTGGAGCACATCATCAGGCAATTTGTGACGACCTCTCTGAGATCAATGTGTTACATGAGAAGCCATGCGAGCTGTTTTGGGAGCCAGACCATGCGCATCTTATGGCCTGTAGGCCATGACGAACTTACCAAATAATGCGCATCTTAAGGCGCAGAGGCCCTCGTCAATGGAATGGGCGGATATTTTGAGGCGCCTTTGCCATGCATTGCACCGCATGTTGTTGCAGGCAGCGCGCAGACCAACGGCACACTGCCAGCAAGCCATCCTGTGGCTCTGGGAGTCAGCCAGGAGAGCAGTCACAAGCCTTTCTTGGTCTTTCTGACATCAACCATCTTCGATCTTTTCACTTGAGCGCAAGCATTGTGGGGCATCTGCCCAGGACACCGCTGTGGAGACACACTCCGCCGACGCGGCCGACCCCAAAGCCGCCGCGGCGGAGGTCTCGCGCGCTCCGCCGGAGCCGAGCCCGGCGCCGGCGGTGACGCCGGTGACGCCTGTCAACCCGGAGCGCGGAAGCGAGAGAGACCGGGTGGAGAGCGCCATGCGGGAGATCCTGGAGGAGGGGGATGACATGTGCCTGAAATGGCTCAAAAATGGCACCTTTGTATGGAAACAAAGGGGTTATCCCCAATTCCAGGGGGGGGCAGCCAGCTCGGGGGTAGTTTAACATACCATGATAGCCAAACCAAGTCCATCCAGTCCCAAACTGCCAGATTCCTCCAACCAAAGCCATCCATGTTAAATTCATGTGCTGCAGGGTCGTAGCACTTCTCCGTTTTTTGCTCAGAATCTCTGCGCTCAGCGATTGTGGCTTGCGCATGAGCAAAAAAGAGCAGCAACTACCCTCCCTTCCACTGACAGAAGGCACCTCCGGGAGGGCACCTAGAAGATCATTTCCCTCAGGGACCCCTTTGGTGCCATGTTAGTGGGGTGAGGGTGGACCCCCCATATTATTAGGGTGGTTCAGGGTATCCATTTTTGGTTTCGCAGGAGCTCCGGTTCGAGCACCTGGTGATGCGGTGCCAGGGCTGCTACGAGTTCGGTGCCTTGGCCCGGGCGCAGCTGCGCATGGATAACGACACCCTCACCGCCTCGGTGGACGGCGTGATGTACGAGCCCTTCAAGGAGACGGCTATGGCTGTGGCTGGAACCAATGGTACCATTTTGGGGTGGACGAGCATCCATTTGCCACCTATTTTGATGTTATGGCTGTTGTCAATACCGTTTTGGGATCCCAGTTTGGGGTAGGTGGATTCACCACCCATTTTAGTACCTATTGTAGTGGGGATTGGGATGTTCACTGGGGGTACGGGATTTTGACCCATGGCCACATGGCCATGATTTTTTCATGGAACCCCCTCCAAAGTGGTTGGTGGACATACATCCCCACCTGAATCATGTCCACCAAGGGGGCCCTAAAAAAAAAAAGCAGATCCAGATTCAGATGATAGGTGTGGGCATGTTTTGTTAAATCAGGGGCCCTCTGCTGAGCATCATTTAGGTGTGGGATCTATGTCCACCACTTTCCACCGGGTTCCTTGTCTACATTCACGACAGCTATGGGTATGTCTTTTCGGAGTCGGAACCCCCCAAAATGATGGTTGTCCTTTTGGCCCCCCTTCGAAGTCCTTTGTTTTGGGTTCCCTGCCACGTGTTTTTAGAGTTGGTACACCTTCTTTTTTTTGGGGGTTCCCTCCCAAAAAGCAAACCTAATGTGGTTGTGACGTTTGTTTAGAGTTGGTACCCCTCTTTGGTTGGTTTTATTTGGAAACCAAAAGGGCACCGTTGCCTTTTTTTGGTGCTTGTCCTAAAAACAGGGGACACACACCAGATGATGCTGATCGCGCGTCAAACTAGTTGAATATCCTTTGGGGTTGTGTCATTACAGGAAGTCAAAAAGCATCGGCCGTTTGGGGTGGACCCTAGTTATGACACACTGATGACACACTGCCAGTTCTTGCAAATGCCCAGAGGCCATTGTCCAGCCTCAGTTGCCTTTTGTAGGGTGACCGGCACTTGTCAGGCGGATAGGCATTGCCCACAACCACTCGTCGGTAGGCGTCCGGCTCTGCTGTTAATTGGGCATACATAGAGTTTGGTTGCTGAAGCCCTCTTGGTTTGCGTGTTGACATTTGGCTGCGGCAGACATGCCGCAAACGATGAGCTGTGAGGCTGTGAGCCTTCACTGGCACAGCTGTCATGAAGGAATCAAATTTGAACGCAATACAATCTGGCTTCAAACTTCCAAGCGTCCACGTTTGCCTGCAAACTCCGGCGGGAATGATGTGCATGAGAAAGTGCACACACACATGTATATATATATATATAGGTATGCGTTCGCTCCTTGGCTCCATTTCGTCCTTGCTGCTACTGCTGCTGCAAGTACAACCATGCTGCGTCTGGGTTACTCATGTCTTCTCATTCTCACGGTGCGTCCGAACTGATGAGTCACCCAAGTGCTGGTAGACCCCGTTCACCGTGAAAGATCCACGGGTGATCCAAACTTGCAGCCTGGTACAGAGCTTCGTCTCAAAATGGGACCCAAATGGCAATAGTTTCTTTTTGTTTCCCTATGAAACCAACCCTAAGAGGGTGCCGCCACCGACACATGAACAGAAGGGGCCGCCCTGGTGATGGTTTCCACGGTATTGGGAAGCCTACAGCCAGGAGTTCATCTGCAAGCTGCAGGACTGTCGAGCTTTGCCAGTCCTTTTCCCCAATTCCCCGAAGATACCATAACCTATCTTGGTGGCTCCCAGCTATAGCGGGGGATCTGAGGGCCCAGTTAAGACATCTGAATGGCGGAACTTGGATAGATGTGATGACCACCGGCAAACTTCATCAAATCTTTTTTTTTTCTCCCTCTTTCGCATGGACCACTTGAGCAAGTCCCCAACCCAAAAATGGGCACGGATCTCCTTGGCGCTTTTTCTTTTAGGCCTCGGGTCGCTCTTTTTGTTTGGTACCGATGGGCTTGGATTCTGGCTCACTGCGGGCCGGGGCAGAGTAGGGTCGGTCCGCGTGCGTTTCACAGGCCTCGACGACCTCGTCCCGGCGCAACTCGATGAGCCGAGAGGATCCCGTGGCTCTGGAGGCGATGCGGAGAGATGCTGAGATCAGTTGGCGTCCAAGAGCCCTAGAAACCACTCCAAAGAAGGGGGAAGGGTTGACCAAAATCAGTTGGAGGGTAAAAAGAACAAGGGGTTCCCCTGAAAACAAATTTAGAGCTTCGTTGTGGTGGGATCGGTTCAAAGGCCTGCTTCGGGTGTGCGTTGGGGTTGGCAAAACCATGGGTTCTTACATGTAGCTCAGAAAGAGCACATCTTGCAGAGGGAAGAGCACTATTTCAGCACAATATTTCTTTTATTGTTTCTGGCTGGTCGCCTAAAATTGGAGAAATATCTCTGACACAGTATCTCAACACGTTTACCCATCAACGTTTGCAACTTGCTGTCACGGGTGGTTCCCCTGATGTTTGCAGGAGAAATGCAAGGAAGCTAATTAGTCTTGGGGCTCCCCATTTTTGAAAGCAGATTCCGGCTATGATGCGCGATGCTCAGACCAATACAGGGTTGCCCTTCAAATAAATGGCCCCTCCCACTTTTTTCGACTGTGGTTCGAGATCGGCCACAGAAAGCCACACGGACATGGAATGGAGCCAAGCTTTGCCAAAGGGTCTTGGGAGCCCTGGGCAAAATTTGAACCCGAGAAGTCTTGCTCGGTGCGCCGGAGGCGGAAGCCTTGCGACCGGAGGAGCAGAGCCCGTCGCCGGAGCCCCAGTGCGCTTTTGGTAGCTGGCTTGCTCGCTGGCAAAGAGAGGGCTTCATGTATCCAGTCAAAAGGTAAGAAATGGCGGTTCCTCCTTCCTTCGCAGTTGGTCCAAGTCAATGCCATGTCGTGCACATCCTCGATAGTCATGGGGGCTTGTCAAAGTCACCCGTTGCGGCGGCAGGCATGCGCCTGAGCGAGGCTGGGGTGCTTTGCCTTGGGTTGCAATGACTCATTCTCGAAGTTTCAGCTGGAGCTGAGGCACATTCATGGAATCCTTGGCTCAAGTGGCATGGGAGATGCAGAAGCTGCATGGCTTGAACCCAGGGATTCCCTGTCAGAAGACTCTGCCGGTCAAGGTCATGGGACTTGCACCCATGCCGAAACCCATGCAACAAAATCTGTCTCTGAAGATCCTGCTCCGCAGGCGCATTGAGAACTGCTTCCAAAGGACAGAGGGGTTTGGAGGAATCTGGTTCTTGTTTGTTCATACCAAGGCTCGAAGGCTTTTTCAGGGCCATCATCCAATGGATTCTACGCATCCATTTTCGCACCTGCTGCTGGCAACCTGACTGTTGGGATTGGGAGAGTCGTGCATTACATACTTCTAAGTCGTGTTGACTGGCTGAGACTTTGCTTCTTTGCTGCAGGCCTCTGAAGTTTGTCCACTATTGGGAGTTTTTGACTGCTGGAGGTTTTCTTGTCTTGGCGCTGCTTTTCTCTGGAGCACATCATGTTGACATGCAAGCTTGACCCTGCTGAAGAAATCAACGAAATCCCCGTGCTGGATGCACGAAGCCGTTTGCGAGCTAGGAGCAAGCTCAAGCCCAAGCCGGCCCCGGTCCAAGGAAAGAAGAGGCAGGGCTTTTCGGGGGGCCGTTGGGTTGGCGCAGAAAAGTAGCCCGTTCAAGGGAAACGGAAGGCCAACGCAGCAAGCACTGGCCCAAGTTTCCCGAAATCAAGGACTAACCAGGTGGTTGACCGCTCGTCCTTGTTCGCGGGAAGTTCCTTTTGCAGCACCTGGAAAGCAAGCAGCAGAGGTGCTTTGTGCTCGTCAGCTTCCTTCCCTCCAGTCTTTTGTCCGTCGATACCACCGGCCAGAAGGGAAGATTGCAGTGCATCGGGGCTGGCATTGAAAGTCGACAGAAGCATGCCGTTTCTTAAATGGGTGTGGCTCAAAATTAAACAGGGGGGGGTTACGCAGGTTTTGGTCCATGTTTTCACTTACCAGGGTTCCATTTTGGGTACATATTTTTGACCCACAGCCGTTTCTTAAATCTTCTGCAGATTCTTCCAAGAGCATCATTGCTTGGGATTCTTGAGCTTCATCATGGTGGGCCTAGGCTTGGGCAAGGATCGTCATGAGGAACCCCGCTAGGGAAAAAAGGCCCTTGCTGTGGCCAGGGGTGGGCCAATTCTTATTGAAATCAAGATGCAGCTTTGAGGCAGCGAAGAATGGGAGCAGCGTCATTTGCATCCTGACCCTTGTTGTATTGTGTAAATCTGGAGGAGGGTCAGCTCTGTTTTTCGTTTTTGGTCTTGTTCTGTTTCGGACAGGGTCCGCAATGATGTGCCGTGAGTGAGAGAGTGAGAGTGTATTTCAGTGGTTTGTGGGGAGCAAGGCTTGTGGTGTTTGTACCTTATCCTGCACAAGTGATGCGATTGCCTTTCTTGCTGTTTGCAAGAACCGAGTTGAGCCCGGAGAAACCTTTTGCGCGTTGACCTTTGAACTGGTAAGGAGCACAATCAGTTTGATCCATTCTCCGAGCTCAAAGGGGCAACAAATCGAGCTACTGCAGCTACTGGGCACTGGGCGAGTGGCGCTACATTTGTCAAAGGAACTCCAGGCTTTCAGAGCCACACTCTTCAGACGGAAGTTGATTTTCAACGTGCTCCTACACTTGAACCGCAACTGCCTCCAATCCAGCTGACGCTCGTTCACGCTTTGTACAAGAGCAATGGATCAAGACTCACCCTTTTTTTCGTGGTTGTCAAGGGGAAGCAAGAGGACAACCACACTTTTTGGGAGTCCAATAATATTAAAAAAAAAAAAAAAAACTGACTCAACAACGCATGCATCAACGCATCCTGGTTGCAGCTGGAACTCGTTTCGAGTGGCCGAGCTCCAGCTCTTTGTTGCAAAAGGGCGGGAGACTTCGTGTCTTGCTGTGCGAAGGGTGGCGATGGAGCCGCATCTGACATGGTTCAATCCCTGCGCGGCATGCCTCTTCCTTTTACCCCCTTCCGGCTTTCCGCTCGCCGCAGGGGTCGCTGAGAAAGGGCCGTGCGCTCGGTGTGCCCAAAGGGATTCGGTTTGGGGAAGCGGCAAAGGGGAGATTCGGCTTGGCTTGAAGTCGTTCGCCAATTTGTCCAAGGGGCAAGTCAGGACGAAAGGGTTTGAGGAGCATGCGCATTCGCACACATCGGAAGCACATGGACAGTTTTGCCCAGGCCGGCATCTGGCCAAGGCGCTGGGTCTTGCAGCTTGTCACAGCCATCATTCCCCTCTAGACAATCCCCAACTGAGTCGAAAGGAGGTTCACCAGACTCATTTTGGGGTTCTGCGGTCGAAGTTTGCAGTGATTGGCATACCATTTGATTCATTGCCTCCCCAGACTGCCATTTTATCATTCTGCATTCGCAGGTGCCACTTTATCCCGGGCAAGCCAGGCGCACGTCACTTTCATGAGTGGTGCCGGCCATGTTGGGTTTGGATGTTGGCTTCCTGAAGGCTTTTCATTTTTCTGTGAGAGCATGATGCTTCCTTCAAAAGGTCATCACATTTTTTCTGATGCGGGATCTGCAGCCCCCACCCCCCCCCGCCCATTCCTTTTCAGGCTGCCAAAGCAGCGCCTCGGAAGAACGGCACCCCCCGGGCAAAGGAGAGATGAGTAGCAGGGAGTCGGGCCCGCGGGAAAATGACATGCGCGCCTCAATTCTGCTATCCAGCATCGTGTGGGTAAAGCCAACCGGTTGCCGCGAAGTTTGTTTCCACTGCGTCAGATGTGGGCTGTTCCACGGCATTCCAACCCAGCATCAAAAGTTTCGGCCCCCGCATCGTTGTCGGCCAAGCCGGTTTCAGCGGCCTTGAGGAGAATGGAATTCTGAAGCCTCCCGCTCGCGTAGGAGCTTGGGGGGGGGGAGGGAGTGGGTTAGTCGGGCGGTTGCGGGTAACACGATCCTCAGGATGGGAGGTGCGTGCCAACTGGTATTCCGAGATTGGAATGATGCGTCAAGAGAGGGGTAGCTGTGGTAGCAGACGTGGCTTGCTTTAATAGCGTCTTGATCGCGAACATGATAAACACTCATTCACTTTCGTGTGATATGACACCCCGGGCCTTCCCTCTAAGTGCCGTGTCCTGTGACTGGCGGATTGCCTCGCTGGGGCAATCCCAGGGTCATTGATCTTACACTCCGTATGGCTCTGTCATTTTTTGAGGGTTCCCTTTTTGGAAAATCACAAGGACCAGCACCATTTTTTGGGTTCCCCTAAAAAGACACACTTCACGTTTGTTGGCCTTTGTACGAAGCTCTGAGAGTGACGAGCGCCAGATCCCACCCGGTCCAAAGTTGACAAGAAAGGCGCGGGGATGGAATTCTCTGGGAAGGCGGTGCGGCTCGGCGCGTGTTTTGTGGAGTTGGGAATGGGTCAACATTAAACCACCAGGATATGGACCGCAGGCTTTAGTCCTTGGTTCCATTTCCCAATTTTCCACGTTGGGTACCCTGTTTGACCCTGAGCCAGTTGATTTGGCCATGGGTCAAAATCCCGTCCCCCCAGTCAACATCCCAATCCCCACTAAAATAGACTAAGAGTCGGTGGTGCACCTACCCCAAAACGGTACCAAAACGGTTTTGACAACCACAGCCATTTGATTTGCACGAAAGAGCAGGTGCTGACGTGCCAGATCTGATCCTTTAGCCAGGTGTGGATCCGGCCACTCCGGTGCGCAACGGAGGCCGAGGGTTCTGGGTGATGAATCCATGCATGTTTTTTTGGCGTGGCTCTGCGTTTGTAGATGATTCTTCTGTTCAGGCAGGGAGCTATATCACTCGAATGTTGCTTTTTCCGCGCACCCTGTCAAACCGGTGGGGGGAATTGACCTTGAGAAATGTGAGGCCTACCTCCTTGGACTGAAAGCTTGCGGGGCGGTCGCTGGGGCAATGACCACGAAGGTTGGTCGTATGCATTCGGTTGGTTGTCAAAACTATGGACCCCTTGTTGGACCCCTTTGAAAGGCAAAGTCCAACATAAACCATGGCCCCAAAAAACAGGGCTCCTTAAAAGATACATCTTGCCCATTTGACACATGACGTTTTCCACCAAAATAAAAGGAAACCACCATTTACAAGGCAATGTTCAGGTGTAGAATGTAAGGATCCCTGAAAAAGGGTACTCATTTTTGACCACCCCCCCCCCGCCTCGCCGCTGCTCAAGAATGATCCACGAATCCTGCTTGGCAGGCGTGAGCTCACATGCATGCTCCACATCTGAAGGGCTCTCGCCGTCCGTGGTCCCAGAGCATTGGGCTATGGAGAGTTCTGATCCGGAGATCCCGCGAGTGTCCCCTTGCAAGCCTTTTGTGGTTCGTGAGAGGCAATGTGGGTTTATCTTTGGTTTAGGTTGGGTTTAAAGCGAGTTCAGGGCGGGTTTAAACAAGGGTTGGTTTAGGTTTAGTGTGGGTTTAGTGTGGGTTTTGAGTAGGTATAGGGTAGGTTGGCATGGTGCAGGGATGGTTTAGGGGTTTAGGGTTGCTTCGGGTTTGTGTAGGGTGGGGTTAGGGTTGGTTAGAGTTGGTTTAGGGCTGGCTTAGGGTGGGTTCAGGGTGGGTTCAGGGTGGGTTTAAGGTTTCTCTATGGTTTCTTTAGGGCTGGTTTGGGGTGGGTTTAGAGTAGGTTTAGGCTTGGTTTAAGGTTGGTTAATTTATGGTCTAGGATTGGTTTAGTGGTCTAAGGGTAGCCACCAAAAAGCCACGAAAACCCTCAACAAGCTGCTGAAAGGTTGGTCTAGGCTGGGCTTTGGATTTCTTTACGGTTCGCCAAACATTTGTTTGGCAGCCGAAGAAACAGCCCTGCAAACAAGCCGGAAGGGGCGAGAGGGAAGAACACAAACAAGGACACCAAGCCCGTGCGGATTACAAGCACTATCGTGGCGTTTGATGCTGAGGCTGGAGAGCCAAAGAGCCAGGACAAAAAAACAGCTCAATTCCCGAAAGCAGAAGACATGAACACATGGCCCTCCAGTTGGTTTTTACAAACTGATGTAGTGAAAGCATTGACTTGAGCTATGTGAGGTCGAACCACAGCGGCCAGCACACGCCTGAGATGGGTGAGGCTGTTTGTGCCCCCGGTGGATAAGTTGAGACCTCGCAAAGGGCAACGCGGTTTATGACACGTTTCTGTTGAGCGGGTCAAGGTCGATGACCCGCGGATGTTTTGAAGGTTCCAAAGAATCCAAACGCATGGGATCTGCGTTTCAGGGCCGCGCCGCGCAGTTTTAAACGAGCCGCTTCAAGCTAGGTGTTCCGGGCCAGGGGCTTGACGAGGTGATCGCAAGCAGATGAGTTGCACAGTCGGATGGACTTGAAGCTCAATGGATCGATGCGCTCTCTCGAGCCCAGGCTCTCCAGAAACGCTAGCTCCACCGCGGGAAGCTGCGTAGTGGGGAGCGGGGGCCCCTGGCGCCGAGACCTTCGAGCCTTCGACTTTCCAGCGGAGTGGAGGTGCCTGCAAGGTCAAGTGAGTTTTCACAGGGGGGGATGATGCTTTAAAGGCAGTACTGTAGGAAAAAGCCGGCCCCCCCTCGACTTGAGGACTTTTTTTGGGGTGATGGCGTCTACAATGATGATAGCAATCATAGTAAGAATGATAGCAATAATCATAATGATAGTATCACGGCAGGGAGGGAGGAAGACTGACTGACTGACTGACTGACTGACTGACTGACTGACTGACTGACTGACTGACTGACTGACTGACTGACTGACTGACTGACTGACTGACTGACTGACTGACTGACTGACTGACTGACTGACTGAACGATTGGAATGGGAATGGAATGGAATGGAATAGAATGGGATGGGATGGGATGGGATGGAATGAAAGAAAGAACATAAAGACATAAAGAAAGAAAGACAGGAATAGCGAAATAACTTAAGAACGAAAAGAACGAACACACGAAAATAACGAACATAATTAAAGAAGGCAGGAAGGAAAGAAGGAAAGAAATAAGGAACGTAAGAACGAAAATAACAACATAAGTAAAGAAGGCAGGAAGGAAAGAAGGAAAGAAAGAAGGAGCATAAGAACGAAAAGAACAACATAATTACAGAAGGCAGGAAGGAAAGAAGGAAATAAAGAATGAACGTAGGAACGAAAATAACGAAATAATTAAAGAAGGAAGGAAGGAAAGAAGGAAATCAAGAAGGAAAGACAGAAAGAAAGAAGGAGCGCAGGAAGGAAAGAAAGGAAGGAAGGAAGGAAGGAAAGAAAGAAATCAAGAAAGAGAAAGAAAGAAAATAAAAGAAAGAAAGAAAGAAAGACAGAAAGAAAGAAAGAAAGAAAGAAAGAAGGAGAGTAGGAAATAAATCAAGAAAGAAAGAACGCATTAATACTTGCCTCGGACAGAACTGCACCCACGCTCCAGTATTGCCACAAATGGCACGCTCCGAGATCCCGGGCGTCCATTTCTGGGTGAAGCGACTGACTTGGTCCGCATAAACCCTGTGGGTCACACCAACGCTAAGTCGATGGACAATGCATGAACCGACCCACAACCCATCCACAAATCGATGCCCCCCCCCCAACCTAAACTCACCCACGTAGAGCTCCCCAAACCAAGCCTAGAGCCACCCACCTCAGAGTCATCCTCCCACCCTAACACCCTAAAACCATCCCTGAAACCAACCAGAAACCAACCATCAAAGTGCGCAACCCACCCTACATGCACCCTCGCTGCGCTCTGAGGCAAGCCTGACAACACCCGAATCAAGCCCTAAGCCAACCAACAAACCGCCTCCACCCCACTGTGAATTCGCCAACCATCTCCTTTGAGAAGCTGCGGGTCCGTAATCCTTTGCGGTGTGCGGCTCCCTGGTCCCGAGCACGTTTGTCCCAATGGTTATGGGTCGTTGGATCACTCATTTCTGCAACAGTAACAACAGAGCAACAACACCCCACACGGCATTGACACCGTTGACTCACCCACACACACACGGACACACAATCTCATTTGCTATTACAAGGTCTCTGAGTTGGAATTGTGCGTGTGTCGAGGGTTTGGCAACCACGAGGTTGATGCAAAACTAGGTATGATGCAACACTTGCATCCATTTTTCCACGGAGACTTGACAGGAGGGTTTGACTTGAGGCAGCCTCACCAACCCAGCCGCATCCAGTACGCCTGCGTGCTCACCGTCGATGCCAAAGTGGGGGTGGCCCAGAGGTTTGACGGCCCGCGCCAGACTCGGTCTGGTCGCTTCTTGTAGGTCTTTGCGGGATTGTGAAAACTCGGAACTTACGAAACTGACTAAACCAGCAGCGACACACAACATGTTTACATAGTTGGAGCGGGGTGCCAAGACTTGGATCCCGCACCTGTTCCAATTAAATGCCACGCTAGTTAGACTTGAGAGGAAGCGCCAACTTACCCGCGCAGTCCGAGTGTAACGCAAAAAGCTTGGAATTTGTGCGAGAAGCAAGCTGAGCCGAGCGACGCGATACTCAAGTGCAGTTTTTCTTGAAACCAGGCTGCAGCATATCAATGCAAGCTCCAAAACCCGCTTACTTAGATTTATGTTAAACAAACCAGACCACATTTGGGCGTGTCAGTTTCTAGGGGACCCACCAAAATGTTGGTTTTCCTTCTGGCGCCCTTGTAAAACCACAAAAAACCAGAAAAAAGGACCCACCTTGTGTTGCGTGGGGCTGTTCACCTTAAACCAGGTCTCGCCCCAAGCTACCCCAAATGCTTGAAATCACTCACCCGGCGGGGGTGCATGGGGGGCGCAGGGAAGGGGCCAACCTCGGTCGTCGCCTTCGCGCTGCTTGTTGACATGGGGGGGGGCTTTCATTTCTGAGTGACATGTGGTTGGAATCTGACCACTTTTGAAGAGGCCACAAAACCCCATATCAATGGACTGGGAGTGATTCAGCTGGGGGTCAACACTGCACGGACAGCCCTGACAACTCCATCTTCGCTCCTTTTTTGGATGGATCTCGTCAGAGGCGTGCAGAGCAGAGCTTCCCAGGCGCGATTTTGTGCATGAAGTCTGCCAAGTTCCTGTTTTCGAATGATTCGGCATGGGAAAACCATGGGTACCTTTTCCTGTTCAGTGGGAAGCATCATTTTTTAGTGGTTTTCCCCAATGGTCATCCCATGTAAAGGACCTTTTGATCAACCCCCATGTCTAACTCTTTGAAGGGTTAAACATGGTGAGCTGAAGTTGAAGTAAGGAGCATGAGAGCTTCCGAAGGGCCAACATTTCATCTACGCTATGTGCTGCTGACAGGCTACCCAAGCCCCAGAATGGCCTGCGTGTCGCCCCCGCGGGCGCGCGAGGCGGGTCATCACTTTCGGCGCTTTAGGTTTGCACACGATGCCGTGTTTGTCTTTCAGGGCAACCCAAGGCAATATCTTTCTGCCGAAGAAAGTCGTTCTGGCGAGCTCCCTCCACAAGCTCCAAAAATACACCCACACTCACGCCCACACCTACACCCATATCGTTACATATTCTTCCTCCGGCAGCTTGGCACCCTGGGTTCCTGATTCACTCACCAGCTTGAGAGGTTGGAATTGCATGCCTCGAGGTGCGGGCGATGACGCCGCAGCCGCCGCGGGTTGCGGTCCAAGATTCGGAGGTGTTCTTTTGGCCGAGTCGGTTCCGATCGATTGCCGTTTTGCAGCTGTGATTCTTGGTGCTTTGCTCTTGAGTCCAGAGGTGGACACATGGGCCACCAGCGGTAACTGGATGATAGGATCCAACCGAAAACTCCAAGGGCTTCTTCCTGACTCTCCCTTCGTCCTTCTTCCTTTCCCACGTCTCTTGTTGTTTTCAAGGTCTCCAAGCTCATTTCGTTTTCAAAGCCATGTTTGGCCAAGAACTGGATCTTGTCTCCGAGCGAGTCTGTTCGGCTTCTGATAGAGGCGGCGTGCGCTGCGACTCCTCGCTCCTTCGTTCCCTCGCCGCCCAAGACACCGCTCTACACGCAGGCAGGGGAGGAGTGGGGCTTTTTGGGGGCCCCTGTGCATTTTTTGTTTGCCATGATTTGGGGCAAGGGCGGTTTGTTGCTGGATCTCTTTTTGCAAGAGGTCAGATGTATTCCTGAAGAACCTGGAAAACCACCGTGGTCGAATCTTGAGGCTCCCTACGCTTCGCAGGCCAGCTCTCCAACGAGCATGTCGGGGCCTAAGTGGATACAGGTGCGTCACCTTCAGTCCACGTGAATTGTTCACAGGCCGGCGCACTACGTCATGCTGCCAGAAGGCGGCGGCCTCGGGACGTCGATGCGAGGGAGAGACTGCTTTCTGACACACCAGACTGGATTGGCAAGAGGGCCGGCTGGCCTGGTCACTCACCGAGAAGGGGCAGACTGGGCACACAGCAGACGGGGACATCCCAAAAGCCCGTCAAGTTCCGCGCATGAGCAACGCACCCACTCTCAGCTGCGAGCTGCAAGCAAAATGTGCCATATACCTGCCCTGATGCCCTGAACTTATCACATCGCCGCCAATCTGGCTTCCATGCGAAACGAACCGGACATTTCGCGATCCCATGACCTGTACGGAACGCCTGTCCCGAAGGAACCCTCAAACAAGCACGCCAGAAAATAGCATCGCTGGCCGGAAGAATAGGTCGTAAGATGACCAAGGCTTCTTCTTCGTCATACTTGCTGACCAAGGGCTGCAAACTAGGTACATACTGTAGGTGTCCTTGTCAGGTTAGTTTGGTAAGAAATTGATGGGATTATTACTGGTTTCAATGGCTTCTATTCCATACACCAAGGCCATCCATCTTGCCAAAAGGTCACCTGACTAGGTACCCCGATTCTCTGGAAGCGGGAGGCTTCAAGTTTGGGCTGAGGTTTCCACACCGTCCCTCGCCAGGCCAGAGTTTGCGATTGCTTCGGTCCAGCCGTTCGGTGGGTCCGTGATGTCAGGGTCTGCGAAGGTGGGAACACAAGAAGAGCCTTTCCGAGACGTTTTTGCTTTTGGGGACGGCTGGTGCGTGCATGTGACCGGGGCCCTGGCGATTCCGGACGAGGCATCCCTTGTGAGGTATGCCCGGCGCTCAGGCTTAGCGGCTTAGCGCGCGGTTTCCAGCGTAGTTGTTGGTCAGATTCGGAGCGCAGCGGCCTTCCCACCGTCTCATGAGGCTTCCGCTGTGTTCTTGTGCAGGCTTTTCAGCTTGTCTTGTCTTTATATATATATATATATTATATATGTATAAAGCAATGCGGTTTTTATAAGAACCCAAGGTTGGTTTCCGTTGCTTCCTTTGGGTCTAAGAGGCTTTCCTCTTAACACATTATTGGAAGCTTTCCGCGTCGTGCCGCTTTGCCCAGGCGCAGGCGCAGGTCACCCCGCGGCGGCACGAAGTGGACCTGTTGGGGGGCTGAGACGCCGAGCAGAAGGGGATTGGTGGGGGTGGGTGGGTGAGAATGAGACGCCACCCGGATGTGGACCACCGATTTTTGAGTCCATTTCCATGTTTTTCCATTCCGTTCTCACCAGGGAATTATATAACATATTTTTGAGCCCATGCCACTTACGAGGGGACCGCAGATTTGAGTCCATTCCATTTGCCAGGGCAAGAAACTCAGCATGCCAGGGCTTTCGAACATTTTGAGACCCAAAAGAAGGAGTCGCGGGTCTTTGACCGCACATGATCGGAGAGAGTGTAGAAATGGCGAGGCTTTGGCCTGTGCAGAAGCCGTTTCTTGCAAGCATGCGCCACAGAGGCACATGGATTCATATGGCTGTGGGTCAAAACCAATGGTACCATTTTGGGTAGGTGCACCATCCATTTTAGTCTATTTTGGTGGGGATTGGGATGTTCACTGAAAATACGAGGTTTTGATCCATGCCCATATGGATTCATCCCGCACATCATGTTCCATGTAACGTGCAGGAGGCAGACTGAAAGCTTTGCAATTTTGGTTTCAGCAGTGCTTGCCGTAGGCAAAGGTATTGATCCTGAGAAGGGCGTACTGTTTGAATCGTATGCGAGATGGCATGTGCAAAGGTATGTCAGAGTTTCTAGGATCAACAATGTGAGATCAGAAAATCTCAGGGGTCAGAATGTGGGAAGTTATGATTCCTCCTAACAACTAGCGTGGACCGTTTGAATAGCTTGGTGCTTTTGGTACAGGGCAGTCAACATTCATATATATATATATATATATTTCCTACCTACATCCCCAAGCAGCTGCTTTTTCCAGCCACTTTACCCACTAGTAGCCCATAGTTTGGCAAAAGTAGCTGGAAAGAAACAACTGGGGATCCAGGTAGTGGATGAAGAAGGAAGACTTTAGTGTCACCGTTGTATTTGCGTCGGAGCAACGTACAATCTGACCCAATCTGACCCAATCTGACCTACCACCTTGCAGAACTTCCGCCGCAAGAAGCACGCACCATCTTTGCACGTTTTCAAGAAGGGACAACGATTTCCATTTGATTTGCCCTCCCACCAACGTGGAACCTGACATGGGCCTGGAAGCCCAGTCTCCTTTTAAAGGGACCCCCTATTAGGTTCCATGTTGTTGGGATCTATGGTTTCGAATGCCCTGCGCGTTCCGTGTTCCGCTAGGTCCCAGAGCTGGTACACGCCACGGTCACCGGTGCAGCACGAGACGCCGGTGAGGCGGTTGCCTTTCGGGGAGGGGGTGAAATGCCAAGCGGGAGGCAAGTACGGCCTAAGTGTTATTTTGTTTTGGCACTGGCGTGCGGCTTGAGCGAGGAGACTTGTCAGTCATATGGGTGTGTCTTCTTTTAGGGGATTCTTTTTTTGGGTTGTTTTTATAGGGACACTATATACTAACCCATATACTATTCCTGCTCCTTTGCCAGGTTCCATGTGGCCCGGGGGCCTTTTGATGGGAGATGGGTGCAAGAGGAAGTAGCTCGGTCTTTAGCGCAGGCATCGGCCAGTGCAAGCGCCTGTGAGCTTCGTGGGGATCTCAGGATGCGTTTTCGAGTGCCTTGGCTGGGGTTTCTGTCACAGTGGAATTGGCCTGTGAATACTCTTGGTAAATATGGCTGTGGTAGTTAAAACCGTTTTGGGATCCTTTTGGGGTAGGTGCACCACCGATTTTAGTCGGGATTTTAGTGGGGATTGGGATGTTAACTGGGGGTACGGGATTTTGACCCATGGCCATATTGAGAAGACCCACAAACCCGTAATGTCATGGACCAGGCTTGCCCTTGAACATGAGTCTGGATGCTTTGTGTTTGCCAAGGCGTTTTGGCCTTTAAACTGTGTCTGTTGGGGCTTTGGTGTTTCGTTGAGCATTGCTCATGCCCTTTGCATGCCCCAGCACAGAGGTGAGATGAGCAACATGCCTGGGCTCTCTGCGTTATACTTTTTCTTCGTCGCGGGATGTGCAATAACTCAGCGCTCACAGCGCTGCTTGGAGGGTTGGGTTCATGACTCGGCTTAGCACCAAGGACTTGAATGTGTCCACGAGGTAATTCGGTAAGACTACGGGGGTATTTATCCTACTGGGCAGGTTTGGTTCGACATGTCAGATCACTGGACAAAAGACATGTCGCGAAAAATGGCCAAGCCCCAACAAGTTCAGATCCAGCCCCTTTTTGGGCGATTTTGAGCATCGCCTTGGGCCTCTTTTTTTGAGGTGAGTTTCCCTCGGGGGTAGATGTTTTCAGATGGGATGAAGCCTGAGATCGGAAGTGCGCAGGTGAGTCACCCCATCCAAAGAGGCAGAGCTGCCTCTACATCGCCCGTGCGCTCGGGCTCCCGGGGGGGAGGTTTCTCAGATTTGACGTTGGCCGCCCTGTGGGGAGTTGGCGCAGATTTTCCGGACGCCTTCGCTATGAGATGTTTCCAAGCGGAACGCCCATCAAGAGAGGTTGGACATGAGCCCCCAGATGATGGCCAAAACGTCCCCTGTCAAAATAATTGTTCACGCCCACGCCGCGGAGGTCCATTGGACGTCGGTTCTTCGGGTTGGGGTTTGGAAGTTTGGATGCTCAGGCTTCGTGCGGCCACCAGTGCCGGTGCTGGGCAGGTGAACTCAGATGGTCGGCGAAATGCGCCAGCCAGATTTTCCTGGGGATGGTGTGGGTTCAATAGTGCTGTCTGGATTGTGGTACAGTATGGTCGCTCAAGGCGGCGAGTTTGTGAGTGACAGATGTGCTTTCAGTTGCAGGACAATTGAAAAGCGCCAAGCTGGTGAGACCGCATCGTGGGACGAGTGACAGAGTTTGATTCTTAGATGAGAATTCCGGGCGCGTAATGGGAACCCCGCATCAATCAACCCCTTCTTGATCATGGTGGTGTCCCCTTTCAGCGGGAATCCGTATCCCTTTTGGGGCCAACACCCCCTATTGATAGGACGGGTTGAACAAACCGGTCACCAAGAGGTTGTTGGTTGCCGTGTCGCAAGCGCGGGATTGTCCTTGGAGGCGTTGGGTCGAAGCCTAAGGACAAGCCGAGAGTGCGGGGAAATTGCATCCGCCAACCGTTTTGGTATCCCATTTTGGTTGGTAGGTGAATTCACCACCCATTTTAGAACCTATTCTAGTTGGGATTGGGATGTTCACTGGGGGGTACCCGGGCTTTTGAAAAGCCCATGGCCGCTTGACCGACTGGCCGCGCGAAGATCTCTCCTGGACTGGCCCGGCAAGGGGTTTTCTGGGGCTCGAGCCGATGCCGGGCATCAATCCTTTTGCGAGCTCGTTGCCCCAGCGTCCAAGTCTCAGACTCTCAGAGCCGGGCAGCGGGGAGCTGCGAGGGCAGCTTTCAGGCAGACGAACTTGTGGAACAGCCAGATTTACAGTCATAGGTGTCCTTTTTGGTTGATTTGGTCGAAAAATAGATGGCCCTGGTTTACCTGGTGGTTCAATCAACTACGAGGGCCATCTATTTTGCCAACAAGGACACCAATGTTTACAGTACTGCTTCACAGGAGAGGCAGACATTTTGCACTGAGTGCGGCTAGATCCAGATGTAAACCTGGCTTTTCATTGCGTCATTTTTCAAGCTTCCATTGCGCCTAAAAGATGCGATGCATTCTTGGGTTGACGGTCGGTTCTTTGCGCTTGTGTCTCCCAAACTGCAAATGCGGGCTCTTTTGTATCCGGCGTTGAAAAAACAAGAACAATTTACAAGAAGGAACAAACTATGGTGCAATTCACGCAAGGCGTTCGTGCTTCTCGGTGAACATCTTCAGAAAAAAGGTGCTCGATTTAGGTGCGAGAATGAGCCATGACATAAGAGTGGCCTGCTGCAGCCCCGCCGTTTCAAGAATCTGCAATCGAAAGCAGGATTGTGTCATCTTTCAAACAATATGGCTGTGGGTCAAAACCACCATTTTGGGGTAGGTGCACCACCCATTTTAGAGTGTGTTGCACTTCAGCCATGACACTGAGGTTGGGGCGGATGCGCCGGCCTCAGCTCTCGCCCGCTTCCTTTAAGATGAACTGCGTGCGGTGCGATGCTCATGCTCTCATTGTACTGTGTCTCGAGGCAGCACCATGGGTCAAAACGATTGCCTTCCCTCTGTTATCCCTCCTGACATGCTGCAAAGAAAAGGGTACCCTCAGCAAGCAAACAAACAAGCACACACACAAACAGCAAGCAAGCAAGCAAGCAGGCAGGCAGGCAAGCAAGCAACCAAATAGGAAGGAAAAGGAAGGAAGGAAGGAAGGAAGGAAGGAAGGAAGGAAGGAAGGAAGGAAGGAAGGAAGGAAGGAAGGAAGGAAGGAAGGAAGGAAGGAAGGAAGGAAGGAAGGAAGGAAGGAAGGAAGGAAGGAAGGAAGGAAGGAAGGAAGGAAGGACAGGAAGGAAGGAAAGGAAAGGAAAGGAAAGGAAAGGAAAGGAAAGGAAAGGAAAGGAAAGGAAAGGAAAGGAAAGGAAAGGAAGGAAAGGAAAGGAAGGAAAGGAAAGGAAGGAAGGAAGGAAGGAAGGAAGGAAGGAAGGAAGGAAGGAAGGAAGGAAGGAAGGAAAAATGGAAGAAACAAAGAAACAAAGAAACAAAGAAACAAAGAAACAAAGCAACAACGCACAACGCAACAACGCAACAAAGAAACAAAGCAACGAAGAAGCAAAGAAACAAGAAACAAAGAAACAAAGAAACAACGCAACAACGCAACAAAGAAACAACGCAACAAAGAAACAAAGCAACGAAGAAACAAAGAAACCAAGAAACAAAGAAACAACGCAACAAAGCAACAAAGAAAAAGGAAACGAAGAACCGAAGAAACAAAGAAGCAAAGAAACAAAGAAACAAAGAAACAAAGAAACAAAGAAACAAAGAAACAAAGAAACAAAGAAACAAAGAAGAAAAGAAGCGAAGAAGAAAAGAAACGAAGAAACGAAGAAGAAAATAAATGAAGAAACAAAACGAAGAAACGAAGAAACAAAGAAACACTCAAAGGAAGGAAGGAAGAAAGAAAGAAATATAGAAAGAGGAAAATCAACACTCAAGCAAAGCAACAAAGAGCCAAACAAACAACCAACCAAACAACCAAACAAGCAAACACACAAACACACAAACAAAAACAATCCAACAGAAACCAAAGCAGAACAACACAAAACAATACAATGCAATACAATACAATACAATACAATACCAAACAACACACCACAAAGCAACACAACCCAACACACCACAACACAAAACCACACAACACACCACACCACAAAACAACACACCACAACACAAAACAACGCAACACACCACAACACAACGCAGCACAATACGACACAAAGCCATCAAGACAACACAACACGACACAAAGCAAAAACACACACAAAATCAAACACACACACACACACACGCACACACAAACACACGCAACACAAACACCCAAGCGCGCACACAGACACGCAAGCACACACACACAAACTATATATATATATACATATTAAAACAATCAATCACACACACACACAAACAAGCAAGCAAGCAAGCAAGCAAGCCAAGCCAAGCCAAGCCAAGCCAAGCCAAGCAAAGCAAAGCAAAGCAAAGCAAGCAAGCGCACAAAAACAAGCAAGCAAGCAATCAAACAAGCAAACAGGCAAACAACCAACAATCAACGAAACAAGCAAAAAAGCGATCAAGCATCCAAGCAAGCAAGCAAGCAAACGAACAAACAAGCAATCAAACACAAACAAACAAGCAAGCGCGGCAAGCAAGCAAGCCAGCAAGCAGACAACGAAAACAAGCAACCAAGCAATCAAGCAAACAAGCAAGCACGCACGCAAGCAAGCAAGCACGCACGCACGCAAGCAAGCAAGGAAGCAAGCACGCACGCACGCACACAAGCAAGCAAGCAAGCAGGCAAGCAAGCAAGCAGGCAAGCAAGCAAGCAAGCCAGCAAGCAAGCAAGCAAGCAAGCAAGCAAGCAAACAAGCAAGCAAGCAAGCAAGCAAGCAAACGCACGAACAAGCACACAGACAAGCAAATACATCCTTCCAACATACAGAATAGTTTGTTGAATGTCCTGCGAAGGCCATGCTTTGGCAGCATGGCAACTCTGTGAGGAAATCACCCCATTTTCCTTTATCAGCACATGTGGAGCAGCCAAGGCCCTTCACAAAGCTTGCACAGGCGATGCATTCTGTTCTGATATGTCAACATGGCTTTTCCAGGTCCAAGGCCCATTGCATCTTTTGCTTGCAGAAAGCTGTCTAGTGATTTGATGCGAGCTGGTCATGCATATTGAGCACTATGCCAGCATCGAGTCGCAACATGGCAATAAACTGCCTCCTCCTTTTTGATCTCTGCGGCCCTTTGCCGCGCGTATGACATCATTACATGGCTGTGGGTCAAAACCCTGTACCCCCTGGTGAACATCAAAATAGGTGGCAAATGGATGTACACCACCCCAAAATGGGGCCATAGGTTATGCCCATGCCCCATGGCCACATCACCAGTCAGTGCCTTCCGGACCCAAAAGGGCTTAAAGGAGCGACATGTTTCTTGGGCGTGCTGGGGGGTTCGAAGTGGTGGGGCAGACCTGGCTTCCGCTGAAGCAGGTTCTTCGACCCATTTTTGACCGACGAAGATGACGGCATCACCCCTGCCAGGCCATTTGTTGGAAGCTGTGGGGGATGGATATTGAAAGGATGCGAGAGGAGCCACGTAAGCATGTGCCCAGTCAAGAGTATCCTTAAACCAGGTGCTGGCTTGAGCGGGCCCTTTTCGGGTTTGGACAGGCCTCGGCAGTTTGAGTCCATAGCTCAACGTGTACTTGCATGTACTTGTGTCAAGTCGAGCACATGGCTGACACTTGTATTTGCTCTGCCCCTTCCTCCTTTCAGTGCCCCTGTCGTGCTATGGATCTCTTTTGCTTTGCTTGATCTCATTTCTGGTTGGTGTTCTTTGTTGCCCCCTTTTCTTTGTGGTGCCTGGACCCTTTTGCTTGCCGTGGTCGATCTCTTGTGCTGTTGCCCCCGTTTTCCTTTGGCTCGTCGTCTCTTCCCCCCCGGTTCCGGGCACATTTGGAACTCGAGGCTCCCACATCGGCGTGCGTGGCCAGGGCCGCAGGCACCAGCGGAGAGAAGGTGACGCTGACCACCAATAGCTTCAGGCGCGGGAGCCCGATTTGGGTATGGGGACCGCAGGTTTTGGTCCATGTTTCCACTTACCAGGGTTCATTTGGGGTACCTATTCTTGACCCACAGCTATTTTGAGCAGCAAAAAAAGGAGGGGAAGGGCTCATGAGCATAGGAGGTGTCCCAAAAAAACCGCTTTGGGGCCATAAACATGTGGAGGTCCTTTTGGTGTGATGTTTTTCAGGTACGCCTCCCAAGCATAGGTGTCCTTTTTGGTTGTTTTGGTGGAAAAATAGAGGGTGATTCCTGGTTTACCTGGTTTAATCATCTACCAGGGCCATCTATTTCCTCGAAAAGGACACCTATGCTCATGAGCCCGAGAAAAATCAAATCCAACCGGTGGTTTCCTTCAAATAAACTGGGTTCATTCCCACATTCCCTATCCATGTCGTCCGATGTGGTGTCCTGTACGGGAATGGGCATGAGGCTTGATGACCCCTAGCAAAACTTCCATCTATCCGATTTGGTTTGTGTTTTGGGGAGTCCCCAAAACCTTTTCTTTCCCAAAACCCGGAAGGTCGGTCCCTATCGCAGCAGCAAGATGATTGGAGCTTGGGCAAAGCAGTTGGGGTGTCCCTGGCAACGCGGGTTCATGTAGGACTCAGGCGGGCTATACGCCAGACAGTCGTCGCTCATCAGAGGCATCCCCCTGTTCAAAGCATTTCTGCAGTTCAAGATGCCAGCCAACATCTGCCAAACGTAACTTGAGAAAGGAATGCTTGGGCTACCGGTGCAGGGAGAGGCCTTCAAACATGTTCTCAGCTGATGTTTGGAAAACCAGGAGGATCGTTTTTGGGGGCGATCAAGCCCGTGCTCCAATGAAGCCGAACAAACATCCTGCCTTCCAGATGGCAAGTGCACCTCAAGCCGTAGGCCCTCCGTTCCCGCTTCGCCTTGAAGAGTGGCCAAAGTATCGCGCCACCAGTCGCAACGATTCAGAGTCAATCCAATCTATCAAGGCTACTGTAGCTAGACATCCAAAGCACTGACCCTGCATCCTCATGAGCCTGCTGAGAGCGGGCCCTTGTGCCAAGGATAGTTTGGGAGGGTAAGGACAGCTACATCTTCCAGTACCAGTACGATCTGCCAGCACCTCATTTGGCCCTCCTCAGGTCTTGCTTGGCACTGATTCAGCTGAATGCGGGTGGGCTCCGAGAGGTAGAGGAGCCAAGACATGGAAGTGCAGGCCAAGCAAACGTGGGGTTCAAACGTCTTCGTTTAAGTCGAGAGGTTTTGTGGGTTGCTGATACTTGAGTTGTCAAGAGACTGGCAGCATGAGAACCCCAGAGTTTGAGGGTGCCCTCTGCAATGTGAAGAATCCCCGCAAGATGCCTATGACTCAACTGAGGAGAAGGTCTGGGGTTGACACTACTCTTGGGAGGGTCCGTCCTGATACAGATGATGTGGACGAACCCAGCATGCGTTTTCGCAGGAGCCCAGGCAAGATTCTTGCGCGATTTGATTTTCTGGGGCCACAGATCTTTCTACGATGCTGGTCAAGGCAACTGACCTGTCTTCTTGCAGCATGTGGTTTGATTTTGTTTGGCATGGAAAGGCAGCGCTCAAAAGAAGCTAAGCCCTCGGTATGTGAGTGGTAAGCGTGACAAACAACAACCAGTCAGCTGTCCCGGCCACCCAGCCATGTCTTTGCTGCTAAGGTACTGTTGAACGGACCCGCTTTTATTTTTTGGGCTCCCACAAAAGAAAGTCGTTTTTTCCCCATTCAGGATCCTGTGAGTCGTTTTTTGGGGTCCGCTGTTGAAGCAAGTTTTCGCCAAACGAAAATTAAGGCAAACAGCCGCCAGACAAATGCATGCCTTCTTTTTGGAGAAAGAAGCCCAGATCAGAGACTTAGGCTTTTAAATTTTACAGGGTGGTGGACTCAAGCCCTTGCCAGCTCAGAGGCAAAAGGCCTGAGACCTAGGCAATACATGACCAAGTACTGGATATCGGGCGATACTAGATTAAGCACAAAACATCTACCCTAACTCCCACTAGCATGGCACCTAAGGGAGGGTACCTGGAAGATCAGTTTCCTCTTGGAGGGACCCCCTGTCAGGTGCCATGTTAGTGGGAGTAAGGGGAAGATTAGGCATTGGCAATACTCGATTTAGTATTGTCAATGCTAAATCAAGTCTTAGCAAGCCCAAGTCCAACAAACCCCCCTCAGATATTGCCACTAGGGGCGGGGGGGTTCATATTGAAGAAGGTCCAACACCATTCAAGCAGCTGTTGAAGGGGTCAGTGCCAGAGACACTTCTGCCGGTCGCCTGGTAACCTATCAACCAGCCAAGCCTGCCCAGGCCGGATCGCGATATAAGCCAACGGGAGGACCCGACATGTCTCTTGGTTCGGGTTCTGCTGGGCAATATGGCTGTGGGTCAAAACCGATGGTACCATTTTGGGGTAGGTGCACCACCCTTTGGGCCTATTTCAGTGTTCACTGGTGGTACGGGCTTTTGACCCATGGCCATATCGAAGCTTTGGCGTATGCTTAGAATCGACAGTCCCTGACTGCGGTCCTCGGAGCCTTTCATGCACCGCCACGGTCGCGACTTCTAGGGCTCTTGTCGAGAACTTGTTGGGGCTCCTGCCATTTTTGCGGCATCTTTTTGTGCTGAAAGGGATCAATGGGTGCACAGCCCATGGGTTTTTGCATCCGCGGGGGCCATGGGATATACAAAAAATCAGCTGGATTCCGGTAGGTGGAAGCCGTGCGCCACTGCTCATGCTCTTTCTCTCAACTCGTCTTCTGACTTTTTCAGGCGTTTGCGCCTTACCATTTGTTCACCTCTTTTTTTTTCCGCTTGGCGCGTGCGCTTGGCACGACTCCACCACCTGCGTCAGAAGGAACCACGCTATCCCCAGCTTGGCTTCAGGAGAAGAAGCTGCTGGAGCAGGCCCGGGAGATTGTTCAAGCCGTAAGGGAGCAACGAGGCGCTTTTTTGAAATGTGGACCCCAGACTCAGCGACCAGTTGATCAATGGGGTGCTGGGGTGAAATTTGTGGTTGGAATCGGACCATTTTGCTTTTGGAGGGGGGGAACACCCCCCTAGAACTACACTGGGGTTGATTGCTATGAGGTCAGCAGTACCCGGTTCATGCTGTCAAGGAGTGCCACCGGGGTGAGAGAATGGTGCTCTTCAATCGTGCACTTCGCCTGAGGAGCAAGATAGACCAAATTTCAAGGGCTTTGTTTGACACGCGTGCGCAGAAGCACTGTCACTTGCGCTCTAATGAACCACTTCGCGTAGGAAATCCCCGGCAGTTGGTACAAGCCCGTCCACTGCTTGCCTTATCTCTCCCGCCTGAGGGTTTCCTCAGAGAGACACAGAGGATGACTTTCAGCTTTGCCGAATGGCCAGGAAGGAGCCACATAGCCACTGCGTAAAATGCTGTGTATCAAATTGGATGTTCGTGTCAAAACCATCCCCATGTCACATTGTGCATTCAGGGACGGTGAAACCTTTCATGTTAAACAGGCGTTTACCGCACCGTTCTTTTGTGCGCATCCATTTGGAGAGAGGTCCGAGCTAAACTGGCGTCTTGAGACCGCATAGGACAACTGGGCTTTGAAACACGCGGATTGCGCGGCATCACGCTCCTCGTGTCTGATTCAGGTGCCAGTGAGGTTCCCAGATGGATGTTCCTGACTCCGGTGTTCGGATGAGTTGTGATCGCCGGTTTTTCCTTATTGAAGCGCACGCAAGCCAGTACACACGCGGTTCACGCGATGTGTTTGTTTGTTGATTGTTTTTGCAAGACAAAAGCAGCAAGGTGTTTTCTTGGAAACCAGCTTTGGCATTCCTGGCCTTGCTCAGCTATCTCAGATGACTCCCGAATTGTAAGGGTACTCATCGTTAATTGCATCTACCAGTCGGTTTACCCAGGCATCTTTCAAAGATGTCCCAGGTGTTGCATTCCTTGAGTGCTGCTGCATGACCCTTGCCAAGCCTTGCGGAGGTTTGGGGCGACCTGAAGCAGAAACTCACCCATTTTATCGTGCGGTGTTTGCGGCCCAGCTGTTGCGAGCCAAGCGCCAGGTTGTCACAGGGTCTGATCAAACATGTCATTTCGCTTGCCTTTCCTGATTGACCCTTCAAACGAACACACTCATCCAGCTGCCCCCCCAAAACTGAACAACATGGATGTGTCTTTTGTGAAGGCTACATGTTTGGCTCCTTTGAAAGGGAAACCAAAAGGACACCACCCATTTTGGGGATCACCCAAAAAAAGGACACAGAACCACATCTCCCCGCCTTTTATCGGCTCAGCTCATCCTCCCAGGTCCTGGGGAAATTTTCTCCCCCAAGCTGGTGCCGGATTTCAGTGTGGCTGTGAAAGGCAAGTAGAGTTGGACTGCGCGCTCGGCGCTCGTTGCGAGAATCGATTTCAGGTCAGGGCGGGCATTCAATATCCAAACTCTCTCACCAATCTACGCGATTTCGCGAGGTGATTTTTGCTGAGCCATCCCTGGTGTTTTGAAAGCGCGAGTTCCTTCAAAATGGAAGACTTTCGGGTGCAGTTTGATTTGATCGGATTTCTACCGCATGGCACTCGGCGCAGGCGGAGATGGAGATGAAACTTCTCAGTTCAAAGTTAGCTTTATGTCCAAGATCCACGCCGACCAGGATTCCCGCCAGTTTCGCTCGCGGTTCACCTTGGATTTGCAAGGATGATCAAATTTCTTTGAGTGCTTGCGTGAACTCACCACCTGTGATTGGACATCCACGGTCCATGAGACTTCTTGCTTGAAACAGGTGAGCTTGTTGCCTGTCTCGCTGTTGCCACGACCGTGATGAGCGCGTCAGATCAACGAGGGCATCATGGGGACTGCGTCCGTGGTTGGGCAGCACATAGCAACCTGGCGTGAATAGAACGCGCCAGCTCCCGCTCAATTTGCATGATTGCTTGAAAGCTCCTTTCCAACATGGAACGATTTTATAAGGGGCAAACCTGGGCAGTGCCACGCTGCGCGCGACAACATGTCCATAGAGTTCCGTTTTTTGGGGAAAGGTCCGAAAACTGGCGGAGCCGCTGCGCATCCAGAAGGCGGGCTTCTAGCTCTGCTACCTGATCTTGCCGGAAGAAAGAAAAAAATGCGTCGCCGGCTTTTGCTTGCCAGGTGGGCAAGCGCTACTACAACAACTGCCCGCAGGACCATGGTCGTAGTTTGTGAAACTTCGTTTTTGGCGGTTGGATTGGGCTCATTGTGAGGAGGCAGTAAAGGACTTTTTCAGTATTCTGCGACACATTCGCAGGCTGCTAAAATTCGCAACATCATCTTTTGCCTACGGTGTGTGCTGTTCTAATTGTGCTGCCTGTAGACTTGCCTGCCAAAAAGGTCTCCACATCCGTGAAACTTATCACGTTAACATTTTTACAGTTGCCAACTGCATCATTTGTTTTGGAGCAAAGATGCGGTTGGTATCATGAAGGTCTAGATATGTTCTACGCTCTCAAAAAGACAGTCGCAACATGCCCCTTGGGCTGCGAGGGCCGGGGACTGTCTCAGGGCAAGACGAATCAGCTGGTGATCATCGGTGGCTTTTGCGCGGCTCGGCATCGGTTGCGTATCGGAACCCGAAGCAACTGGCATGGTGAAATTGGGGCGCACAGAAATGCCCATGTCGGGCTTTCATGGTGATCAACAACTTAGGGAGAAAGCCTTGGCTTGTTATTAAAAATAATCACAAATAAAGCCACAACCTTTCTCGAACCCAGTGGTTGAATTCCTTGAACTAACTACTACTCAACTTGAGCCGATCTATCCATAGCCGACACGACCCTTCCATGCTCCCGGTGCATGGGAATTCGCATATATGGGGCCTTGAGTCCAATTCGGGGGGCCGCTTCCAGCTTTGCGTTGCAGCGATAGCCACATCATGTGGGTGAGGCAAATATGGCAGCTGTGGGCAAAGCTGGGCCGCTGTTGCGCTTGGACATGTGCCGCTGCCGCAGTTGAAAGTGTGAACCGGCTCATGAGAGAAGTGAAAGGCTGCGATGGCAATGAGTGCTCCTTCAAATAGCAATTCCATGTGTGAAAGAAACTCAGCTCTGGTTTTCTGGATGTTTGAATGCAATGAGGGATTGAGTCACTTTCCTCCAATCGTGTAGAGAGATGCCCCAAGATTTCGGAGCCGCACCTTCGGTCGAACCATGAAGAATGCAGCTGCACGTATCACACCGCTCCAAAGCTTTCAGAAGCATGTCAAGACCATGGCCCTACTCCCCAGCCTTGGCTTGGAGTACGTTGAGCACGAAGTTGCTAAAGGAGCCAAGAGTTTCGTTTTGCTCACAGTCCGGAGTGATGGAGAACTCTCTCTGTCTCTTTTCTGGGCCAGAGGTTGAAATCACATCTTCCTATATTTGAAACGCTTTGGACATGCAGAACGCCTTCTACCTCTTATTACTGCAAACAAATCCGCATAATTAAGTTTTCTGCGATACCTAAACTGCGCATGTCTAACCTTCAGGAATTGGAGAATTCAGATTCTCCACGTTCCCGGGTATCAGCTGGCCGACGGAGAATTCGTGACTCATGATCTATGATTCACGATGACGTCATGGTTCATGACGGTTGTGATTTTTCAGGCGAACCCCCCCGGTTCTTGAAAATCGAAGATTTATGCTTTAGACTAGATACTCATCTTCTGTCATGGTTTCAGCCGCCCAGAAGATTTGCGGTTTGGCTCAGAGCTTTCTTCCCATAACAAAGGGCTCAAATTCTCCTTCAGGTTCCGAAAGGTAATAGGATTGTAGGGACCTGCTCTTGGCTTAACGTGACCAGTTCTTCAAGGTCAGTCTCAGTGGGCTGAAGGGGTGGGGTGGGGGTGGGATGGGGGTGGGATGGGGGGGGGGGGGGCGGGGGGTGAGGCCCACTGCCGGGGTGCCTATCTTAGAAGGGAACTGGTACCCTGTGGTAGTAGAGGTCGTTGATTTGGTCCCTGGATCTATTCCGGAGAGAGTCCAATATGCCAATATGGAGGAATGGAGGATGGATTGTCCCTGGTGGCTTGTGTTGACTGTGATACCTGTAAAGCGGTCTGCAAGCCTTTTTATCAATGTACCATGAGTCGAATGACTGTACAAATGACTTGAAGGGCCTTGAGCCATCATGTCAGCGGAGTGTGTGAATAGGTCAATGTGCAACAAAAAGCAACACAAAACAGACACAAACTTCTTTTGACCTTTCACACCGAAGTGTATGATTGGCTTCTTGGCCTTACGTGCCGTAGCCATACTGGAAAGTGCCGTAGCCATGTATTGTTGCAATGATTCATCCAATTTTGGCGCGGATGATTTGTCATGTGAGCAAAATGGAAAACAGTCTGTACTGATTCTGTGAGATACCTAGATGTATCGAAAAGGTGATGCACAACGCTATGTACATGCGGGACGGATGTGAAACTATTGATCTCTCACTGAATAGTCTTGTTGGCGGTGAGCATCAATCTGGTTGTAATTCGTAGTGCCGATCGTGGGAGTCTTCTCAGTCGGTCGAATAAGTGCCAAAGGTGGCTGCTTCATCAGGTGGTCAACGGTACCACCGACGGCTGCTGTCGGATTGACTGCCATAGTCTCCATAATCATTCCAGGTCGAGTCGCCAAAGTCTTTCCATTGCTTTGGATTGCCCCAGTACTGCTTGTTGTACTCCTTGTACTCTTGCTGAGTCCAGGATTGTTTCTTCTTGAGGCGCTCCTTGGATCTCTCAAAGTTGCGTTGCCTGGCGGCAGATCTGCTGCGGATGTAGACCATCAGCGGACTGTGTGAGTCGGAATCTTGTGAGCCATTCATGAACATGTCGTTGTTCACGTGCTTGAAACGTTCCGCGGATGAGACCTGATAGTCGAAAATGGCAGACGTCGGATCGTCCAGTTGTTCATCTTTCATGGCGTTCATCTCTTCCTTCCGGAAAACCTGCTGGATATTTGTTTTGCCCCATCCAAACACGAAAGTCATCATCACATCTGGGAATGTTCGATCATACCCTGATCCAGTCTTCATGTATAGGTGATGACGGACGATGGGTCATGAAGTCTCCATTGCATACTCCATTCTGTCCACGAGTGGCAGATTTCATTCCACAATCTCTGATATGCCTTCATGAGGATATTCATGAGACCGTTGGCCGGATTGAAGACGTGCTGGAGTCTGCTGTAGGTATTCGCGGATTTGTTGGCGTCTCCGGTGACCGCATCGCATTGGTACAATGCCACGAGTGGCATGATTTCGTTCTGAAGATCTTCCCGTGCTGCTCCATGGCTGATTGATGGATGGATGTGAAAAACTCCAATGGTAGCAAACGGGAGGTCTGCCCTCGTTACGTGGCGGCTGTCAAACTCGAGGAGTAATTTGTTAGATGATTTTGGTAGCATACCGCGATACTCATCATTCTGCTCGATGTGGAGAACGACAATCTCTTTGTTACGCCCGTGTCCTTGGACTTCTTGGATTCAGTGAACATGGATGGTCCCGTAGTTGCCAGGCATTCCGAGGTCGGAATGTCGTATTCAGGATCAGTGCAATTTTCCTCGGTTCCGAAGAAACATCTGAACATTCCGAATGTGGGTCCCCAATTCTGACTCTTTGTGGAAATGTGCCGTGCCAATAGTACCACTCTTGCGGAAGGTGGGCCGCGTACAAAGCATGCGATTGGTCTGGATGACCATTGCTTGATAACGATGCCCTTGTACCCAAATCGGATGAACGTCTTGATGAGTTCTTCTCTGGATTTCTCATCTTGAGAACTGAGGAATGCGTCTGCTTCATTTAGGCATAAGATGTGTGCGCTGTTCTGCATCATCATCTTGACGATTGGTCGATCCTTCATCGCCATGTTGTACACCTCCTTGCTGTCCAGCTTTGGATTCCTCGTGAGGTTTCCATGGTTCATAGTAAGCGTGTTGATCGTCAGGGATGAGGTGAACTCATGCGTCTTGAGATGGTCCACAGGGGAACGGTCAGTTGGCTGCATCAGCGATCCCAGGATATCGGCAAATGCTCGGATGACTTCTGGGTTGTCATATGACTTAAGCTTCTTCAATCCAAGTGGAAGCTTAATCGGATATCCTGATACTGGCTGTGCCTTCCTGTACTCGTCCATGGTTGGACATTCTCCTCGATGGCAGAAGTAGAACTCTTCTTCTTTGAGGTTGACATCTGGATCGATGTGTGCCAATGAGGCTCTCTTGCATTCTGTCAATTTAGGATGAGCTCCCTTGGGATCCTTGTTGTACTTCTCCATGAAGCGGATGAAGTTCCTTTTGGTCTCCACGAGCTCTTCCTCGGCGTCCTTCTTGCTCATTTCTATTTTGAGGTAGATTTCCTTGAGTTCCTGGATGAACTCGTCGGAATTCTGATACTCCATGGTGACCTTTGGCTTGACGGATCTCTCCCCGGAGGGTTCCATGTTCTCCTCTTCAACTTCGTCCTGATCGGTGGAGTGCCGTCGCTTCTTGGTCTCTGTGGATGTATCTTTTTCGGATTTTCCCTTGTTTTGGTGGTCGTTATTCACATGTTTGAAGAAGGCATTGGCGAATTCTTGGATCTTGCTGGTGTACATCTCAATGTCTTCACGACCGAGATTTTTCTTCATGATCCAAGTGTTACTCATGATGATGTTTCCCTCGGGATCAAATGCTGTAACAATGTTCCTCGCCTCGGTGGTTTGCTCTGTCAATGCTGTTCGCTCTTCGGAGAGTCGGATGTCGTAATCCTGGTCCTTGAGGAATGCCAGGATCAGCAATGCATCTCTTCCTGTTGGCGCATGTGTCAATGCTGCTTCTGACGCTTCGTCATCAAGGATAACGTCGTCGATGCATGCCATGTGGATGTGCGCTCTCCCCAAAGGGTTTGACTGGGATCTCCCAGATTTCAGCCCGTGCTCCATGATGTTGATCAAATTCTCTCCATATGTAGCATGGAACATGAACGTGATGGGCTTCTTCGCGAACGGCTTGATCTTTCTCTCTTCTTCAATGGATTGTGGTGCCGGCCTTCGCATTCTGGGTTTTGCATGAGCTGTGCCTTCGTCGTCATGGGGCGCGTCGGATCTTGACGGATGCGAACTTGGAGGAATGGATTCCGTTGGAAGATCGTAGTCCGGTTCTTCTTGGCGAGGCTCACTCTTCTGTTCGGAGTACAGGGGTCGTCCAAAAGATTGGAGATCGACTTGTTGTATGACCGCTGTTGCATCTCACGTAGAACTCCATATCGGGATCATTGAGGAATTCCTTGCCATTAGGCCGGAGTGCGTCGTATGCGGATCTAGAGGTGAGGTTGTCGATCCATCGATTTCTTGGAACAATGTCTCCCCTTGCCTTGCGCTCATTGTATGACCCGTCCACGGATGGATGCACGAACGCAATCTCGAAACGTGCCTTTCCATAGTTCGGGAACATAGCCATCAGGAGAAGTCCTGGCTTATTGCCCATGAAGTTCCTTGCATGCGTAATGCAGGTCAATGCATCGTAGAGCTCAACGGATCCATCAGGACCCATGTCCACTTGTCGTTTGCATTCTCTGTGTTGGCCTTGCCTTGGTCGTCTCGAAAACATCCGGAAAACAATCTGCTCATTCTCTCGATTCGCCAGAGGATGAGGTCGGTGATCTGTTTTGCCTTGGATGGATCCATGTTGAAATATTTGCAGACCTGTTCAACATTCTGGACGGTCTTCTCGAGATCAATATGGCGGTTGTGACATACCATCGGAATGATGTCGGTTGACATTATCTGGTTGTTGAGAGGCGGATGGATTCTCATCGACGACCTGCTCCATGGGGCAGTCGGATGTCTCATCTTCCTCATCACGAGCAGGGGATTCCTTCAAAGGAGATGCCCGTCTCTTCACCAACGGCTTCGGCGAAGGAGCCGCAGTGCTGGATTGTCCAAAGATCATGTTGAGAATCGGCATGTCTTCGAGGTGATCAAGCATACACGATT